CAGACTGGGTACCTGTCGCTAGCACATTCTTTGCAAAGTTAGATCGAGCCATAACTTGGACTTTAGAGTCGTGGTCAAGTGTCTTGTAGCACGATGCTCTGTGATTAGGGAATCTCCAAAGTTTGACAGTCTTGTCATAACTAGCAGTATAGAGTGTATCATCGAACCATTGGCACGCTGTTACACTCATAAACAAACGATGATCATTTATAGTTCCCCTTGAAAACCCCGGCGGACGAGAGCTCCAGTGGTCTGGCAATTCCTCCAGACTATCAGTGATCAAATCTCCGAGAATCAGATTGTTCCCTCTGTTGTATTCCATATTGTGTTCGTCGCATTGAGCTGTAGCACCTGCTGCAAACTTAGTTCCATCAGGAGACCATGCTAGAACTATAACATCATTCGAGGCACCTTTCCAAGTCCTCGAAAGCCCGAGGTTGCTCAAAACACGGGAACTGATCTGCCGGCTCACAGCGCAACCTAGCTCACGATCCTGCAAGAGCTTGTTTAGATTGCCAGATGCTTGCGAATTTTTGCGTGTTGCTAAGCTGCCGTCCTCCAATTTAACAGCCTTGATGACAGATGGGACAGTTGGGAGATGGCCTTTCTTGGCGTCGGCAATGAATGCTTCTATATCTGCGCACTGGCGCCGACCCAATGCAGATGCAAATGATAAATAGCCCGACAGTCTGCGTATTTCCTCGTCTTTATGGCCGCCTTGATTGCCTGAGGTGGAAGAGCCTTCATTCCTTTGTTTCTCTTGTGACCCCAGGAGTCGCATTGCGATTCGCCTAGCACGTCGTAGCTCCTTTGTGCATGGAGTTGATGCCAACATTTCTAGGAGCAAAGCATTGCTATCGCTCACTTCTTCAGTTGAGAGTAACCTAGACAATTTCAAAATAGACGAAATCTTCTTGAAAAATTTAGGGTGTATATTGTAGGTGGATGCGACTTGTATAAGTTGATCGGTAAGAGCAATGTCTGGAGCAGAATGCCATTGGCATCCACTAAATGACAGCAAGTTTAGCACTGCGGTCATTTCCTTTAGATCAAAATCAACATGAAGGATGTTGTCTGACGCCAAGTTCTCTCCCCTTAGTCCCTTAGCATAGTCGGCTGGATTACGTTCTGGGCGATAACGTGCATGTGCGACACTCTTGAAGTCGTCCAGTGTCTTGAAGGGTGACTTGAGTATTTGTACCCTAGATGAGGAATATATAAGAGAGTATTGCCTGTGACCGATAAGCTGGCATTCTCGGTAGCAAGGAGGCGTTGAGAGATCACACGAACGGGAACGGTCGTGACGCTGTTGTGGCTGGTCTGAATTGGCTAATATATCAACATCCTCATTACCGGAAAATTCCTCTTCAGGCTCAATACTAGACAGATTGAGTTTCTTGTAGTAATTTATAGGGCCAGTTCTTGATCGTGCGGAACGCCTAGTTCTTGGTGCCTTATCATTGTTTTTGGCAGGGGATTTCCTGTCGCTTAAAAAGTATGGTGAGTACGTTGTCTGGCGGTCAAGGTTGGAATTATTTGTGTATTTCTCTTTTGTTGGAGGTAACACCGAGTCTGTTTCGCTATCGTTCCTTGGACTTTTAGTTAAGCTCCCTGACCCAGAGGTTGTCCGTGAGCTTCTCAGGCGAGGGTGACGCGCCGAGTGCCGTCGTCGTCGTGCTGATGGGACTGTGTGTTTTTCTGGCACGGACTCAAGTGCAGAGTCATCTGAGATAACGTATACTACTTGAGGGTCATCGACCGACACAGAACTGTTTTCAATTCTTGAGTTGGAAATCTTCTGCGAAGTGGCCCTGTTTCCACTCAGGGAACCTTGGGTTTCATGAGAGGAGTGCCTCATAAACTGTGAAAGTAAATTCTGAGCTTCCTCTATTATTGATGGGTCGTCAGATCCGATCTGAACAGAAGCTGGACGAAGACTGGCCTGAGACCTGAAGTCTCGACTTCTCACATGTTCAGGTGCCTGAGACGTCATCTGGGGTGTGTTCTCGAGTCGAAGACGCTAAATCGCCAAGAATGGGTATTTAAGATGGGTAGGAACTACCTATGCCTCAACATTAGCGTATCTAGATCACAGTATTATCGACGAAGCACTTACGTATACTTCAACAGGAAGTGTATGTAGAAGCGCCGTATGGATTAAAAACTCCGTAGATCGCCTGGGGCTTCATCAGCTAAAGCCACAGTGAAAACCGACTGAATAATACTCGCACCCAAAGAAGGCAAGCAGCGAACCTCTAGAGTAGTCCAGACAGTGTATGGAGGGTAATGTTAGATGAACATTCGATCTTGCACATCTAAAATGATGACAGATAAATGTCCATGGCATTACCTAAGGCGGCCATGCAATTCAAATCTTCTGTGAGCTGAACAAAACAAAGGTAAAGTTAAGGAAAATGTAGTGACAAGATGGAGAATGAAGATGCGAAATTGCGCTAGGCCAATGATTACTAGTAGACTAGGATTCTGAAACTTTAGAAGTCGACGCATGTAACGGACATCAAGATGTAACAGAGCGGCATCTTCCAAAGAAAGCAAGGTCTGGAATACTTCCCTCAAGGCTGGGTGAGTTTTGAAGATATCCTCCATCAGTCAGTCATGGTCCCAAGGCTTGGCAACAACGCGTGAACGCGCAGGTTCATGAATTGCTCTTTACCCCAAAGCAGAAGGCGGTGGTAGCCCCACCAGGGGTGTACATTTCTGACTAGGTACCTAACTACTCGTTAGTCCACTTTTTTGTATTTATAAAAACTAAACTTGTACATTTATACACAAAATGAGTCGAACATAATAACTCCTTTGTCGCACTCTATCAAATCGATACATTCGATTAGTCAGTACTAGTGGGCCATAGCCTATCCGAGTACCTGATAATAATAACATACCATACTCTAAAGTGAAAGAGCAAACACTTCAGAGCCTGGGAACATTCTTCTCCGGTTCCAAGGCACCCTCTTGATAGCTTGCTCGCAGCTAGCTAACATATGCTCTACTTGGACACCCGGTCCCTCTTTCGAATAGCTACCATTGTATCATACAAAACATCCTTGAATGCGAACAGGAATGCTGCAGTAATCGCACTCTGTGTCACCTTTGGGCCAATACCTGTACGAATATTAGCTTGAGCCCTATAGCATTTTCTTAATTAGGTCGTAACTTGCCTTTATACAATCCCACGTACCCCTCCTCCTTGATGATTCTCTTCAAACTGCCGTTCAAAGTTTCCTTCGGGCCGTCCTTGCTAGCAACGTGCATCCGACTTTTGACAGTTATGTAAGGGTATGTGATGGACGTGGCCAAGATCTTGCCCAGAGCGCCAAGGTAAAACGCATCTTTCGGCGTCATACGCCTACGACGTTCCACTACGTTCTTCAACTGCTCAAAGATGGTGTACTGTAGGATGGGGTTAATCACCAAGACGAGAGCCGGGAGGACGCCGGCAAAAAGGGCCTTAGGTCCCTCCTGCCGGAGCAGGTCCAGGAGAGTGCTGATCGTCGAAGCCTTTGTCTTTTTGGCAGCGCCCGGCAATACCGGTTCGTCTGACTCGGATTTTCGCGCTGTCATCCGAGTGTTCACGACCCAGATGGGGTTAGTGATCAGCACAGTTGCACTTCCGGCGATGGCCCCAGCAATCATGGATTCGGAGGTCGTAAGCTTCGTTGAGGCTCGACCAGCCTTTGTAGCAGCCTTCTCAAAGGCCGAGCGGGTCCATTCATACCAGTAATAATAGACGAAGTTGGTTACGCTGATGCCAAAAAGCGCTGACTCAAGACCTGAATACAGTCCACTAACTCCTTCCCGTTGAACGATACGGCGGATGGCATCGGCGGTCGTTGAATGAGCACGTTTAGATTCAACTTGCGCTCTTGTTGAAAGTGTAATCAAGGGGTAGCTATAGATCAGTGGGTGTTAGCCGCTTTACTCTCAAACCTAAAGCATAATCGAAGTACGCACGTCAAAACCATAGAGAGGATTCCACCACCAGCACCAGCTAATGCATGCGCTATATTATCACTTTGCTGCGTTGCAGCCATTGCAACTGCCTTCTTGTGTTCCTCAGTCTTTGATTGAGACATGATACAGGAAGAACTTGCGCGTGCTAGCAGGGTAGTGTGTCAAGAGCGAGGTATCCAAAAAGTTGGAAGGTGGAATTGGAAGTATACGTGTTGATCCAATTCAGTAGGTGGTGTAATTAAATGCCAACAACCCTACTTTGAAATATAGAAGGAGTGAATGTGACCGCCAGCTCTTCTTACTAGCAGAATTAGGATACTGAAGGAGCAATGTATTAACTGAAGATGTGATAAGGATCGAATATGTAGACAGAATTGGGGGAGATTAGCCGTTGGGGCGCGAGAATGAATCGGCTTCTCGAATGGAGATAATGGTTTGCATGACGTTTGCCGAATTATGTGCCTCGGCTTATTTAGTCTCAGATGCACTTCCCTTTCCCCTCCCATCAGCCGGAATTAGTGTAAGTATGTATATATTTAAATTATCGAACATCAGATGTTCCTTACATCTAACGAAACAATTCATTTACCTATGTTAACTAAATATCAGAGATAGTACATCGCGGTACTCAGACTTCCTGTGCATTTGCCGTGTATTTTCATTTATAAGACTGCTCAAGCACCACCCCCCCCCCCACCTCTCTTAAATACTTGCACTGTACTCCGTAAATGCGAGAGCTAAACTAAGACCGAGGTCCGGTCTTTTCATTTAATACTACAAACGAATCTGGTTAATTTGGCTCTGTACATACACTAGCTGCCAATGCTCGCCGAGTGTCTTACAGCTAAAGAGCGATCTTCCTTTACACGCATGTGACATGCTCTTCCCAATGACTATCATATGATCAGCGTCCCTGTGGTATTAGCACTAGCTGACAGCGTCATCTTCATTCGCAATGAATGACAGGTCAACATAAGAAGGTTGAAGCGACAAATCCCCCTCACCAACCACCCAAAAAAGAAAAAAGAAGAGGCCTTCAGGATGCCGAAGACAATTTAAATCTATAACAAAATTTTACTGTTTTATTTAGGACTATACTGGCAGCATATTGACCGACATATTTAAGTTGATAAAGAAGGCAAAAACGACTCTTGCACATAGACGATGCTTCTTAATCATCATATCAGCTGGCTATGTCTTCATCAAATGAAACTTATTAGATGAAGGTTTGAAAAAAATAATCTATTTTCAGAAAATGGCTGGAATTTGTGCTAGCTACTGTGTGCCATTACCAAATAAGTATATTCTCCGAACATTCAGGGTCTTTTCCATTAATTTGTTCCTGACAAAATCGCAAGGAATCCAACCTACTAATAAGATATGGAAGAAACGGGGGAAATGCTGTAAAGTAAATCACAAAACAAGTAGCGTGTAACAGGGGGGGGGAGGGCAACAAGGGTACCAGCAATATGAGCACATATAAAGACAATCGCAGGCCGTCTAAAGCATTGTGTGAAGGATCTGAAATGATTCCCAATAATCAGTCCGAGCTTGAAAATAGCAAAAATTTCCGCAGGGCCGTCTGCGCCGTTCCACATTTTAGATAGAACTGTTTAGTGTTAAGGCGTAGTTGGCAAACCACCTCCCTGCTTCATACCGAGGTGGCTAACGTAGTATTGTGCAACACGACTCATTGGTTCGATTAGCAGCAACCACCTGCGGACCCAGACTGGACACCCTGGCCCTGGCCAACCTGCACAGTCGGCTTGTTGTTGACAGTGGCGGTACCCATACGCTCCTTGATCTGCCTTGCCATTGTCAAGAAGGCTTGCTCGACGTTCGAGGCGTTCTTAGCAGAGGTCTCCAGGAATGGTATTCCAAGGCTATCAGCGAACTCCTTTTGATTTCAAACAATATAACAAATTAGCCTCCATGCCGACTGCGGAAAGGTAAAAGTTGTCCATTCCAGAGGGATAGGGGAAAAGGTGAAGATAGGTACATACCTTTGCCACCGTGTACTCCACGACTTTCTTATCTTCCATGTCACTCTTATTACCCACGAGCAGCTTGTTGACACCCTCGGTGGCATAGCGGTCGATCTCCTGAAGCCACTGCTTCACATTGTTGAAGGAATCCATGTCAGTAACATCATACACGACACAGATACCATGAGCACCTCGATAGTAAGACGACGTAATGGTACGGAACCGCTCCTGGCCCGCAGTGTCCCACTGAAGGTCCTGTTAGCTACGCAAAATCATTCGTATGTGGTGACACCTCTCCCTACAATCTGAAGCTTCACTGTCTTGCCATCAAGTTCGATTGTTCGAATTTTCTGTCACCTAGAGGTCAGTACCACTACAAGGGATGTGGTTACCCGAACGACGATATACGTACGAAATCAACACCGATAGTGGAGATATAGCTCTCTGTGTAGGTGTCGTCTGCAAACCGGAGTAGCAAGCAAGATTTTCCGACACCGGAATCTCCGATAAGAAGGAGCTTGAAAAGATAGTCGTATCTAAGTAGATGGTTAGGATAAAAGGGAATTAAAAGTAGGCTGTCTGTTGGTTTCCACCAAAGAAGAAGGTATTACTCTGGTTATTGCACAACAAATCAGTAAAGTTGATAAAATAAGGGTGGAGAGAGACGCAGGGAGAGAGACCATTATAATGCAGACAGAGTGCAATACCCAAGGCCTCAAATAGATGTATCAAAATGTGGGCGAATAGAAGACTTACCACTCAGGGTTCATAATGGACGGTGTAGGGGTAGCTGTTGACAAATGCAAGGCTCTTCAAATAGGGGAGACGAAAGAAAAGACGAAAGAAACGGAAGTCGTCTAAGATCGAGCGGCGGTAGCAGCAGACAGAGAGGGGAGGAAAGAAGCGTTGCCTGGAAGTGTTAAGTTCGATGAAGTCGGCCGTCGTCTTTTGAAATGGCGGTTGCGAGTTGCTGAGTAGTGCAGGTGAGCAGACGAGCCCAGCGTGCAGGTTCCCTTAGTTTGTGACCGTTTCACGTTTCGCCGCGCCCCAGACACAAGACCCGATTCGGTCTAGTTGCTCCAATCAAATGATAAACTTTCCCCTAGATCATTTGTGTGGATTCTTGCTGTTCCTATTGATACCATGATATTTTGGCATGCTGGTTCTTCCACTTTACTTGAATACCTCCGTCTCCTAGACTCCTACTTCTGTTTTCACAACTCCAGCTATTGTGTGGTATCGATCGCTATTTGAAACAAACCATTACCAATAATTTTTCACTAATTTCATTATTATCCCCTCTTGCAAGTTCATATAGATATAGTAACTACATGGGGAACTTAATCCTGAGCATCTTCAGCTGGCACTCAGAATGGTTCCGCATTCCCTTTCTATACTAGCGCACTGACGTAACGTGTTCTTGAATTTTCTAGATGGCCAAGGCCTTCCGTCCAAGTCGCATGGACGGCCAGTTCATTAGGTGGGGTAGAAGAAAAACAAAAGACTACATATAGTTTTAAGTATACTATTTAGGGTCAGAAGAGTATTCCCAGTATAATATACTCCGTAATGACGATACCCTTGTTCATCTTCACATGGCAAGTTAGTAACAGACCGCTTCACTCCTCGGCAGTCAGGCATAGCCATGAGCCTGGAGCCATTCCAGAACTGATTTCTCATCTCTCTCCTTGTACCGTGCATTGGTCCGAATGCTATCCGAAACAATAACGAGTGCACGATCATAGGCACTTGTATCCTTATTCTGGAAGAACGAAGCAATGTCCTCCCCAATGCTTTGGTCTGCGAACTTAGAAAGGCCCATTCGCACAAAGCGCTCAAAGACGACGTTATTTGCCGACAAGCGAGCCTCAACGGTACCCCAGTTGTCCTTCATATACTGCCAAAGTAGATGCCGGACCTTTGAGTTCGCAGCCAAGGAGACTGCGCCATTGTGTACATCTTGGATTGCCACTTTGTCCGAGAATACAAAATCAAGGTAATCCTGGACCAGTCCTGCATCTTTGGTCCGTCCAAGGGCTGCTAGGCAGATTTCTTTGCCATCAACAGAGTCCGTCTTGAGATACTCTTCTTTAACAGAGTCAAATTCATCGAAACCGCCCTCCCAGACGTTGATACCGAAAATGACTGAACGCAGATTAGTGTGAATCGCATCCTTTTCTTGCCCGGTAGACCAGAGCTCGAAGCGTCTTTTGGCTTCTGCAATAACCCTTTGTTACGGTGTTAATAAAGCTAAAAGGAAGTGTACTTAGGGATGGGGCAAGGCTTACTTCTCATCACCTGCAAAACCGACCATTCCGATAAGAAGTTTTCGTAGCTGGACAGTAAGATATTCCTCGCCTGGTTTGAACTCCCAACCAAATCTGTGGGCAGCAGGTGATGCCAACTTAAGAGCAAATTCATTCAATCCGGCGGCTACAGACTCATTCTGAGAGAATACCGAGCGAAGGTTTGCAAGCGAGGAAGAAATTTGTGACCACACCCTACAAAATTAATTAGAATCATTGCTATAGATCTGGACAAACCTTCTGGGAAGGTACTGGGTACTAACAAATAGTTCTGCTCCTCATTGAAGCCTTCAAGAAGGGCCAGCAGAGCAGCAGTGGTGCCTTCACCAGACACAGCAAGAGCAGCAGCATCACCAATCAACCCAATCTTGTCTTCGGTGCTCAGTAGCTCTAGAGATTTGCCAAGCTTTGCCAATCGGTCACTCGGATAATTTGTCCGGTAGAATCCAGAAAGATCCTTGTTGATCTTGTAAAACGAATTCTGGCCGACACCTTGAACAGTATCAGTCTTGGTAACAAGGGCACCAGAATTCACTTCCTCCATCTTTGAGCCCGATTTGATTCCAAGCGGAATCCACCAAGTTGTTTCATCTTCTTCCGGCTTTGCATCACCTGTAGAGAGGAAACGGTTCTGGCGAATGCTAATCTGGCTAGGCTCTTCTGTCACTGTTATAACAGGGAAACCGATCTTACGAATCCATGGGTCCTTCGTCATTTTATTAGAGAAAAATAAGATATAACATGATGGCTCTGGCTTGTTCCGAGGCTTACCATGAAGCTGTTAACGTCTTGACTTGATGCTTTACTGAGCGCAGACCAAAGATCATTGGTAGTGGCATTACCTAGAGGTCGTATTTAATTAGCAAGCGCACATCTGCTCCAACATAAGTACTCACCGTAAGCGTGGGTCTTGAGGTAGCTAGCTACTCCCCGGAGGAAAGTATCTCGACCAAGATGATCGCTCAGCATCCGAATTACGGAGCTTCCTTTGAGATAGCTAATGTGATCGAAAATCTGGTCGACCTCAAGGGCATTCTTTACATGTACTTCTATTGGGTGGGATGCGCGTAATGAGTCGAGTTGGAATGCTTGTTGTACACCTTCAGCCTGTGGAATGATCAGTTCCTACTAAGATAAGTTATATTTACCTCGGGCATTGCGTACGACAAACTGAGACCATATATTCCATTCTACCCACATTCATTAGAACGAGCTGTCTTTATTGTCTAATGAGAGAAACATACCGGGATAAAAGTGGTCAACAGCCAGCCATCCAACCCAGGTCGCGAAACCTTCGTTCAACCACAGTTCGTTCCACCAATCCATAGTTACAAGATTGCCGAACCATTGGTGGGCCAATTCTTGTACCCTTTGTTAGACAACTTGAAACTCAAAGGATTAAAGCTACCTTTGGACATGACTCACCGTGAGCAACAACATACGCAATGCGGTTCTTGTAGCGAGTATCTGACTTGCCCTCATCAAAGAGAACGGCAGTCGTTCGGTATGTTACAAGGCCCCAGTTCTCCATGGCTCCCATGGCCTGGGGGAACAAAAGTAAATCTCTATACATGTATCCAAATAGGTGCGGTTGCTGAGACTCACGAATTCATGGACAGCAAGGAGGTCCGCTTTGGGTAAGGGGTACTCAATTTCGAATACTTCCGAGAAATAGTCGACAGTTCGATGAGCACATTCTAAAGCGAATCGGGCTTGTTCCTTGAGGCCCTTTGTCGTGTAGACACGCACAGGTATACTTTTCCCGTTGTATCTGCGATGGGTCATTGCCTCGGCGTATTCAAAGTCACCAACAGCCCATGCTAGAAGCTATGGTAGTGCTCGAATGGTTAGTCACATGCGGTATCATAGAATATAGATACAGACTCACGTAAGTACTCATCACGGGGGTTCTCTCAAAGGAAACTACTTTTAGGCCAGGGTTACTGCCTTCTCTCACAGATTTGATGGGCATGTTGCTTAGAGCTGTTTGGCCTTTTGGTACTTCGATCTCAAAATCAAAGGTAGCTTTCAGATTAGGTTCGTCAAAACACGGAAAAGCTCTGCGCGCATCACAGGATTCGAATTGAGTGCTCAGCATATAATGGAAATCACCTTCCCTTGGGGTATCAGGACTAGGTTTTGCAACAGGCTTGTACTTGGAGCGGTAAAAACCAGCCATGGAATTGTTCATTACACCCGCAAAAGTCAGGGATAGAACAACTTCCGATGGTGTAATTTCCTGGGGGAATTTGAAAGTCACTCGCTCTGACTTCTGGTCATAGGTTATCTCAGACGCCTGGGTTATTTTCGTCCCTACAGCAGTCATGCATTATGTCAGTAGTCTGGCCTGATATTGGGGAAGGCCTTTGAAACATGATGCACCCTGACAGACCATCTTTTCCAAAAATTTCAGCTTTCTGGACCTCGATCTCCTTGGAATTCAAGATGATTTCCTTGGTGGAGCAGGTGATTTTGGAGTCTATCTTTACGATGCCTTTGTAGCCCCAAGAGTCACCCAACTGCATGTCAAACAAGGAGACATCATAATGAACTGGTTTGACCCTGTTAATTTGTCAAACACGGTTCTTGAGAGTCCATACACATAACGACATTTACGGTTAAAGCACACAGGAACCATTAATGGACTTACACATCGGGAAGAACCTCTCTATCCATTGCAGCCATTGCGCGGATTTCAGAGCAGCACCTTACAAACGTTGAGGGAATATCAAGCTTGGTCGGACGGGGAAGCAGGCAGGAAGGCAGACGAGAAAGTGAGCGGGAACGCGAGGATGAACTGAAAGAGGGGGAGGGGCGGAGTGACATTGGCCGGACGGGGCGACGGGATGGATGACAGATTGACTGAGCATGACCTTTGGTCCACGCAACCATGCACCTTTTCCCCCACGTCTGGTTTAACAACCACCTAGAACTTCTGGAGGGGCAAATTAATCCCTGCTTACGGCCACTTTCGGCCAGTAGGTACGTATATATGCAGAATAGACAAATTACTAGCAAAGTCTACCAATCACACATAATAGTATGAGGAGTATTCCTAAACGCTTCAGGATCAAAGACTTAGAGGCCTTGAGGTAGGGTTATGGAAAGGAAAGACAAAAAAAAGGACACACACACACCACGATCCAATCAAAGCCAAGATTAACCGGAGCTCCGCCGGGAGCTTGGACTCTTTTCTGACTTAATACGGATTTAGCTCCAACTGCAGGCTGTTCCGAAACGACTCTCAGCACCATCTTTCCCCGAGTAGCTAAACCCCCCGCACTCAACACGTTAAGCTCATGGCTGATTCCGATGAAGAGTACATCGGGGAAGTTTCTGAGGATGAAGATGGCAATAATGGTTTTCGAGGATCTCGGAATGAAGGGTCTGCATCCCGTGCGAAGAGGAGAAAACAGCGTGGAGCTGAATGGGAGGTTTCAAGAACCTGGGAGACATTGGTCGAGGGTGCAGATGGGACAATTAGCTCGACAGTTGAAGGGCTCCTAGAAGCTGGGAAAAGGAAAAGGTATGCTTGAAGAAGGAAGGAAGGCGACCGGAAACTGCAGGTCGAGAAAATCAAACTAAAAGCACCTTCAACACAGGCTTCTGAAAGATACAACCCCTTTGCAACGTGGTATTATCCGCCATCTTATCTTGGTAATCGATCTGTCACAATCCATGACAGAGAAGGACCTTCGCCCTACAAGGTATCTTCTTACGCTACGGTACACGCAGAAGCTTGTGCGGGAGTTCTTCGAGCAGAATCCGATCTCCCAGCTTGGTGTCCTTGGATTAAGGGATGGTCTCGCCATCCGAATAAGTGATATGAGTGGGAACCCCACAGAACATATCAGTGCCATACAAACCCTGAGAGACCAAGATCCGAAAGGTCTCCCAAGTTTGCAGAACGGCTTGGAAATGGCTCGTGCCGCGCTATTGTGAGTCTTACCCACGCAGGCGTTATTTATGTTGAGTATCATCTGGCCCAAACTAACATGTACCCTTACAGTCATACACCCAGCCATGGCACTCGAGAGATATTCATCATATTTGGCTCACTTCTTTCGTCTGACCCTGGCGATATTCATCAAACCATAGCCAACCTCATAAATGATCAAGTGCGTGTGGGAATCGTGGGTCTCGCTGCTCAAGTAGCCATCTGCCGTGAGCTCTGCGCAAAAACGAACGGCGGCGATGACACTAGATATGGGGTAGCACTCAACGAGCAACATTTCCGTGAGTTGTTAATGGGCGTAACGACACCTCCAGCCACATATTCTCAAAAACAGTCTACAAGCTCGCTCCTAATGATGGGGTTTCCATCTCGCACTGTTGAAACATCCCCCTCCCTTTGCGCGTGTCATTCAAAACCTACCTGTGGAGGATACTTGTGCTCACGTTGTAGCAGCAAAGTTTGTGGTCTCCCTGCAGAGTGTCCCTCTTGCGGCCTCACTCTAATCCTGTCCACCCATCTTGCTCGCTCGTACCATCATTTATTTCCCCTGATAAACTGGATAGAGGTTCCCTGGCAACGGGCTTCTCACAGTTCGGGGTGTTTTGCCTGCGGTATAGCTTTTCCTCCAGTACCTCCCAAGGATCAATGGCAAATGACGGAAAATCAGGCGAAAGGGATGAGCGTAAGCAGTCGGTATGAATGTACAGTATGCGAGAATCATTTCTGTATCGATTGTGACCTCTTTGCCCACGAAGTTGTGCACAATTGCCCTGGCTGTCAAAGCAAAAATACATTTCCCAAGAAGGCTGACCTTCTAGGGAGTCAGACGGGCCTGGGCCTGGAGATAATGGATACTTCGGCGTAGTGTAAAGGCCAAATCGCATGTTTGAGGATTTTATAAAACATCCATGAATGGTACAGTGCATAGCCTGGCGTTTTTCCTTTTTCTTTTTTTTTTTTTTTTTTTTTTTTTTTTTTTTTTTAAATATCTGTTGCATAAATGCAGGTGCAATTAAATATCTCTCGTTCTACAGTTTTTTTTAGTTTTAGTTTGTTATTATTACGTCTCTTTTTTTCCTTTTTCTTTTTTTTTTTTTTTTTTTTTTCTCTCTTACTTTTTACATCCCTCCTACGAGGTGTTGACTCGCATATATCTTAGTATATATAGGGCATATTCCATATCATAAATCAATAGACCTTGATCTTGAAAATTTTGTATCCTAAGAATAAGACATCATATTAGAATGGAACTATAAATTCATGACTTTTGCTTATTTGGGGGTTGGTACCCAATATTCTGAATGAAGCTTCCTCACCGAAAGTGGTCCTCAATCACTGACCAGCAATATAAATTGGGGGTGCATCATGTTTAAGCCTCGGCTAATCCCAAATCTTATCACTGTTGAATAGTTAACCCCTACGCACCACAGTTCCCCTCAGCAATCAGTAATCATACATTGAAAGAGAAAGGAAACTGAAATAGAACAGTTAAAAATTATTTTTTGCCCATCTGCTTCGTCTTCGGAGTGGAATCCTACGTTTGATGCGTCATGGGTAACCCCCCTGCCGTCAACAATAACCTCGCAACCCAGCTGTTCGTGGGGACAACACACAGTGCAGCTGACCAAGGGAACTCTATTTCCGCAACTCAGGTCGAAAATGAAGTATATGAAAAACTCAGATACTATCCGTTCCGCACGGATCGCGAGTTTGCAAAAGGTCTTGCGATTATCCTCGGTCACCCGGATACCCCTGCAACTGAAACAGAGATCGACCGCATCGACGACCTTGTCTTACAAGCCAAATGCTTCTATTTTTCAAGGTATACAAGAAAAGAACAAAGGCCTCCCCCCCCTCTCTCTTACATTCAGTATTCCTAGCCCTCGCAAGTGCCAATGCTGAAGCTAACCCATATTCGATTGATCTGTGAATAGAAAAGAGAAGCTCGCACACCCTGTGAACTTTGCAACCTATAAGGCGTGGTTGCATTCAGACGTTTTGTCTGAAAATGTGAGCACTGGCAACACTCACCAGCAGGTTAATACACCAGTGGCTGGCACATATATATCAACGGATCATACCAATCAGACATCCACACCTGTTCAGGAGCCTACATACCCTTCCTCCTTCGCCCATATCGTTCAGCTCATCACAACCGGCCAGCCAGTCCCTGGTATTCAACAGATACCAGACACCATATTAACGGGCCATGACACACCAAGCACCAAGCCGAGGAGGCGGAAGCCTTGGGAAAAGGACGAAGTTAGTGAAACTTCTCATACCTAGACTCGACGGGGGACAACATGGAAGTCTGGGGCATAAGAACCGCTACCATTCTTGCTAGGGCCCTTAGTATTCTAGCGAGAAGCAGGCGACTTCAGCGATCATTAGCCCCACCACAGAAGTAGATAACTTTTATTGAAGTCATGTCAAGAGGTCTTGGACAGTGATTGTAGACTATTCTAGGTTCAAAAGATAACATGACACTAAGGATTAATGAGTGACCGGACATGGCACACAAAAGGTGAGTCTCCACATGCAATGTTGCTTCCTTCTGTAAACCAAATCTCCCACATAACAACCCACCCCTGTAGCTTTTTTTTTCCTGATACATTGTAGCCATTTCACGAAAATGCTTTGTTCTTCTGTGAAGCTGAAACAAAGAAAAGGGTCTTAACGTTAAATGCATGGAGCATGAGGTGCAGAACGTTGTGCGGACCGCGCTCATTATCAGCCAGTCCTATGTAGATACTGCCTGCGCCATATGACCATAGCGCCGCGAAACCCTAGTCTAGAGCGCCGTAGAATACTAAGTTGAATACTATATCGTATCAGTCGTATACCTGTCCATAGAGCGTCACAGACTCAGCTCTTATTACTTCTGAGGCTTAAGTTACGGGCAATTGAACCCATTGCTTGCAGAGGTTTTTGCTGTCGATCTTAGCGGAATGGTGGGTAGTTTGGGTTCCATTGGCTTCCGCGACTAAATCGGCCTCCATTTTGGCCTGATATTTGGCACCTATCGTCGTTGAAGTTTGTAAAACGACCGATCTGCATGCCAGCACCTGGTCCAGGGCGTGTAATATGAGACGGGTTGCAGCAGAGCATGGCCACGCGAGAACCAAATTTAGACCCGCGCAAAGAAACCATATGTTTCCTTTAACTGAGAATTAGAGTTGACGAATCAAACTGTGCTGTTAAACATACCTGATATGACTCGCAACTAGCTCACGCTGATGAAGCGCGGCGTTCATAAGGATCCATTGTATGAGGTAGTTCCCATACTGATCCCCAGCAACTATCTATCGTTTAGGACCAACCTCTCGGCAAGCTTGGGGTTTCGGGACTTACTGTCAATCAATGGCATTCTCGGCCGATCAGTACGACCTGTACATACTCGAGTAAGGTAGCGGTCTAGGAACTCAGAACCACCGATCTTTAAGCATTTTTCCACTATTTTAGAAGCAAATTGATCCATGCTGTAGTCAACAGACCACAGGAGGATATGCTCAATCGCACGATTCTTGTCATGGGGTGCGCCATGCTCGCAAATGTGTTGAATGCACCAGTTCCCAAACTGGCCGTGAGCAAGTAGGTCGATCTTGGTCAGCACTTCTTCTATGGCCGGGCGCTAAGGGCTGTCAGCATTCTCTGCCCGGGTATACCCAAAGCCTCCTTCTTTCCTTATCCATGAGTGTTTATGTTGACTTTATGTTGGCTGTCTCCTTGGTTTATGGGATTTGTTCGCTTAGAATAACAGTGGGATAAAACTCTTACCTTTTCATCCTCTACACAATTCTCAAATATGTTCTGTACAACCAAGCTTCCCGTCTCCCCTAAAGCGACTTCATGCCACATTCCGCGCAATGCTTCGTTAACCTTAGCCATAATCTGCGGAGGCTCACCACTCCATCGTAACTCGAAGAGTTTCTGCCAGACATGACAAGCATAACGGTGGATCACTGTTTCTGGAATTTTGCGTAAAAGCTCATGGACCATAACAGCTTTATGATCTTCAGGGACACAGTCGAATGCCTTTTGGATTACATGGCAGCCAAAGGGATCCATGCTAAGGCTCAATGTGTTACCTTTTATTGCATTTGCAATAGCAACTATTTGTTCAGATGTGCCATGCTCAAAACAGCGCTGCACAAGAAAGTTGCCAAAACGATTAATCATTAGGGGATATGCTTGATGCACTATGGCCTTTATAATTTCATACTTTTGCTCAGCTGTCCCAACTTTGAGTTTCTGCTGTAGGAAGATAGAAGCCTGTTGATCGTTATTGCAAACAATTTTATCAACAATATATCTCCAATCACAAGAGACATTTTTGTCAAGGAGCCTGCGGTAATTAAGTGGTTCAAGAGGCGAAATGTACGTCTGAGTAGAGCTCACACCAACCTACAAGCGTGAGCATATGCTAAGAACACAAGATTAGGTACTCCTCACGGCTGAAGATGTCCAGGATGGCGCAGTTGTGCCGGAAGAAGTAAACTCAGAGGCTGTGGGAGAGAGGCGGGTCCCAACTGGTTTTTGATGATAAGGCGCTATAGGATACAATCCAATCTGTTGATATGTGCTGCTTTGCTGATTTGCAGGTGATCTAGGCGCTTGAATACTTGGGGAGCTGGCAGCAAACGTTCCCCAAGGAGAATGCTGCGTTGGAAAAAAGGCCCCACCGCGGTTGAATTGTGTGATAGACCGGCGTGACCCTACACCTGAGCCTGAAGTATACCTACTTTGCTCACTGGCAAGGCGTGAGTCGAAACTGCAAGCTCCAGTGGACGGCCCAGAGAACACACGATGAGGCTTAGACGAAATGATCCCAGAGACACCAATATCGGGAAGTAGATTACCCCAAGGCCTGCTCAAATTTTGACTAAAAAAATTGTTAGGCATTGATATTGGCTCGCCGTAAGATTTATCAATAACTGGGTTAGGCATATTCATGTTAAACCTCTGCTGACCTGGGGGGATCCAGAAACCTTGCGGCCGGTTGTATGCTCCCGTAGAAAGCGCGTCGGAAATGTCTGACTGAGAGTCATCTGGGACACTCCATCCGTCCTGAAGCTGACTGAAAGTTGGATTCGAAGCGTTGAAGACATCTTGTAAATCACTGATCGTCTGCTCCGTGACCTCCCGGCCATTAAAGTCAACTTCAGAAGGAGGACCAAGGGCCTGATCCAGTGTGTGTTTGATTACACGAGTCTGTGCAAGCTCTTGTTCTTGAAGTGCAATTCTTGAATTGGCAGCAAGTAGTTCCTGCTTTAAGCGAAGAACTTCGGATGTGTCGGTGTTTGTAGCATCCGGTAAGGCTAGATCTTGGGCAAGAGACTGGACTGGTCCCGAGGTTGAAGTAAGCGGCAGAATTTCAGAAGATTTGTTGGTTCCATCATGTCCCTCTAAGCCCTCATAGCTGCTATAAAGAGTACGCCTCTGCCGATCAAGCAAACTTTGCTGCTCAGATATCCTTGTAAGGATTCCTTGGTTTGTGGAGAGCTTGATACCTGATGGTTGGGGCTTTGGGGAGAGCCTAGCCAGTAGCTTTCCCATCTCGGAGTTGTCAACTGGAGAGATGGATTTTGGATGCTCCAACTTCTGCTTCTGGGATTGTGAGACATTTTGACCTTCATAGAGTTGATTTCTTTTCCTTGGAAGAAACCTGACCTTGTTCGACAGAATATCATTGAATTCACCAACCGAGGGTTGAAAATTTCCAAGCTTGGATGATATCAGAGGATCGGGGGGGGTGTTAGAAGCGTTCCTATGCTTGTGGTTCTAGAGTGAAATGTGGTTGTTATTGAATGGTTGCACCCTTACTGTGCGCGGTACTTACGGATGCTTCGCGTCCAAAAGATGATGCTTGTCCGTCATTGGAGAATAACTTGGCCTCGGAGAGCCTGCGGCCGGTCGTAGGAGACCCGGTGGACAGCAGTGACATATCTGCCTAGACAGTTGATGGAAGCCTTTATAAACAAAGAACAATGTAACCGCAATCACGCTGTTGGCTAGAAACGGCACTGGAATCCAAATGCTTTCACACGTAACGACAACTGGAATTGAAGCAAATACTTAAAGGATGACCGTAAGTGAAGAGATAGGCTTTGTCTTTAGTGACGAAAGAGACGCGAGATAGGTGGGAAAAGACAAGACCAGAGATAGAAAGATTGGTACATAGACACTAAAGAAAAATAGATCGTTGATGTATGGTATTGGGAAGTAACGATGGGGACCAAATGGAGAAATGCCCTAGCCCCTAGGGAAGTGGGAGGAAGTATCCATGGAGAACACCTCACCTAACAGTCGGTAGTACTAGTAGAATGACTCAAAAACGGAACATGAAGACTACCTGTCATAGCTGTCTATGACTAGGCCAGTATACCTCAGAACTTCTTAGTGATACTCCTCGGCCTCTACCAAGATAGCTGGCATCCATAGAGCAGCCGCACTAATACTTGGTATAGTGTAGCTTGCTCCAGGCTAGAAATATTAGCATCTTTGATCACCAACACCAGGACATTCTACCTGACAGTCTCTGTTCCACCTTTCTATAAACTTTATGGTATTACATTCAAGGAGACATTTCAAGTGAAAACACTGTCCTAGGCTGAGCTCCGCTGTAGTAAAGTAATCCGCCACGCTATAGTGCATTGGCCCCATGACACTGAATACACTAGTGTATATACTTACCAACACTTGCTTCTCTGTTCAAATAGTAGTCCACGTCAATATAGCCATTTTGCGATGTATATAGGCTAAACCAATCAATATCATCGACATATTTCCAAGTCGTACTCCCCATGGCCCTCACCAAAAGTATACAATGTTAAGCAAGTAACTACATTCATCGCAAAGCCAGAAATTCTGACCTGGTAGATCCTCCCGGAAATGGCAGAAGTAGCATTACTACTGGTAGTAGTGCTAGTAGTATTGGCTGCTCAAGCTTGGTGACATCAGGCCATTACCACAGTTTTGGGAAGCAATGCTCTCCTTGGGGAAAGAGTTCCTTTAGTTCATCTTAGAAGTTACGTAGGATTATAGTTTCCTACACTATGAGAGGCGAACGCCGAGGAAATGTAGCAGCTATTATATCGCTCAGCCTATCTCATCATTCATGTTCTTTGCCACAGTGCTACTTCCCAAAGTAAACTATGTCATACCCTCGCCAGAAGCAGAAGAAGAAAAAGCCTGTAGAATACATTAGAATGTTTCACTTAAGTCCATTATATACATGTACAGTATCTCAATTTTTAACTACCCCCTACGCCGCCTATATTGACTTTAATTTGAAATCGTTTATATGGTAGATAGGTCTGGTAATATAAAATATACATCTCTTTTATAAAAAAAGGGTAGTTCACTATAGTATCTGGTTTGAAATTTTTCCTAAATAGTAAAAAGTTCCATTGCTTATTGATAATTTCTTTTTTCCTTTTTAAACCTTATTACTATTATCTAATTTATTACTTAAATTATTTTTAAAATTATTTTCTGAGACTTATCTTCTTCTTTTAGATTAGGATAGCTTTATCTCTCAGATTATTTTAATATACTTATAGTTTTAAAAGATAATTCTTCTAATTATACTTCAATAGAACTTTTATCTATGATTTCTCGGGAATCTTAATAGTACCTACTCTATCTTTTCCCTATATTTTATATTGATTGACCACCGCTTCAAGCTTCTCCTTGACCGGGGATAGTCCGTATATTGTTATCCCACTGGGTAGACATGTTTAACTCAGAAGTCGAGAGTTCGAGCCTCCCTGTGACCACCATCTGTTGTGCCTAAGCACCGAGAGTAGTTGATTGATGAAGTTGTTCTTCTATTGTCGGTATAACTAATAGCCGATAAGCGGCTCCTTTACCGCTTTCTCTACCGCTAATCGGTAGGTTGGCAGAATAGCCACGACAATAATATTATATAGAAACTTAAGTAGTTTTAATTTTATTGTTAAGATAGGAATTATTGTTAAGATAAGATAGACTAATACACTGAATAACAGATGGATCTGCTGACCTAAGAGATAGCTATCATGGACATGTTCAATATACAAAACAAAAACATTTTTTTAACTGTCTTGCAGCTATAGTCGGGTCCGCGTAGTAGGTTCCTATTTCATCCATCACGTGGTTCTACCATCAATACGTAGTAGACCTGATCCAAACTTGACCATGGAACAAACGCATGATAATAAAATTCAGGGCATGGAGACACACATGTAGATACATAAACAAACAAGTATGTCATGAGCATTCCTTACATAGTAAATAAAGGATATAGGTTTATGTGGCCTGCATTCAGTGGTACGTGACTATAGTACATAAATACACAATCATAATACCAATTACGTACGAGTAATAGTAACCAGGCCTTCGCCTAGAGACTCAGGTTTAGCCCGATGAGACCTCATACATAGTAAAGTAAGTACACTTCGGGCCCGGGAGTACGCCGTAAGTAGTATTTAATGACTAACCTCTCCCGAGTAGTTAACTAGTTATATATTGAAATTTGATAAGGTGTGGTCCCGCACCATGTTCTCCCTCCTTGGTGTTCATTCGTCAGAAAGGATTCGTCATCCAGCGAGTAGAAACCGCAAACGTTACAAGACCGCAGTGGATACTGATACCTCAACATCCACCCAAGTCGATTTCATACGGCCTTTCCACCAGCACAGGAGAACTCGCCTTGAAAAAGTTGCTTGAGAGAGCCTGAGTAACTGGCTTCCCCACCTTCTGCCCATATTATTACGGACATATGTATGGCCGCTCGACTTTACCGTTCAGGCCTACTTTTTAGACTCAAGGCGAACTACCACAAGGACCTGAAAGACCAGTTACAAAGTGATTAGGAATGACTACAGCCATTGTTACTGGTACTGGTCGGCGATCTTCTATGCGGCAGTCAGATTTGCAGACTTCAGTAACTGATTCTATTTCACAATCAATGACTACCAGTCCGATAGACAAGTTCCCGCAATTCAAGGACGACCTATATGAAATCGCTGCAGGGCCAAGAGAACCTCATCCAAGTTTTGCGACTAAGTATACACCGAATGATCGCTGGGAACCGCGCAAAGAAAATCATTTCGCCCCAGAGTATACAAATGGGACAATCAGGCATTCTAAGCATAAGCCGAGGAAAAGCATCAGCGAGGCAATCAGTACCATCCGCACACGTAATGCCAGTGTGAGCGCTAACGCGCAAGAATTGGCCCAAGCCCTCCGGGCGCCAGTGTCATACAAACTGATAGTATGGTGAACCGTTCTTGCGCATTGTCAGGAATTGTGGCTCACATCTACTTAGAGTCTTTGCCTCATCTGGTACATGACCTCCGCTCTAACAAACACGTCGTCGAAATCCATCTTGAATGCACTCCCAAAACCAATCACTCTTACGATCGTGCAATTTGCGTTTGTATCAATATGGTGCTTACTGCTGTCATATCTCTCGAAGATATTACCATGGCTCAGGAATAGTATACCGGCCCTCAAAAATGGTATCCGTTACCCCTCGCGCGACGTTATAATGACCGCGTTGCCTCTCGCAGTATTTCAGCTAGCAGGCCATATACTAAGTTCCATGGCTACTTCCCAAATACCGGTCTCGCTGGTTCATACAATCAAGGGACTATCGCCTTTGTTTACAGTCTTAGCATACCGCGTGTTCTTTCGCATCCGATATGCCAGCGCTACCTACCTATCTCTTGTTCCCTTGACTTTAGGTGTTATGCTTGCTTGTTCCACTGGATTTTCTACAAACTTCTTTGGAATAACTTGTGCATTGGTTGCGGCTTTGGTCTTCGTTTCCCAAAATATATTTTCTAAGAAGCTGTTCAACGAAACAGCTCGCGGAGAATCGGAGACACAACCGTCCGCTCAACGGAAATTGGACAAGTTAAATTTACTTTGCTATTGCTCTGGGTTGGCCTTCATACTAACGCTACCAATATGGGTTCTCTGCGAGGGTTACCCATTACTTTCAGATGTAATGCACGACGGATCCATCTCGCTGTCAGGCAAGGAGAACTCCTTAGGTCATGGTGCTCTTTTATTTGAGTTTGTGTTCAACGGAGTCTCCCATTTTGCGCAAAACATCCTGGCATTTGTTCTGCTATCCATGATATCACCGGTTTCTTACTCAGTGGCATCTCTCGTGAAGAGAGTATTTGTCATTGTCGTTGCGATCGTATGGTTTGGCAATTCAACCACTGCGATGCAGGCAATTGGCATCGCTCTTACATTTATTGGACTATATCTCTACGATCGCAACAGCCATGATGATCTAGCAGACCAAAGGGCGAACGCAGACCACTTTCGCACGCAGGACAATGTACTTCCTCTCAACATTCGGAGTACAACTAAAACATGGGATTCTAACGGCTATGTATTTCCACCGGGGAAGACTAGTGAGCGTCAGTTTCTAGACGACACACATTCTTTCTCAAACAACCTGAAGAAGGTCGATGATATACCAGGCCGAGTCCGCCCCAGGGGAAGCAGTAATACTAGGGCATGGCTGCCACCTGGCACAAAGCAGGAGACAACTTGGCAGCCAAGTGACTCTTAGATGGTCTTGACCTTGAACTTCATGGTTTTTACTCTGCTCCCTGAAGCGCTTAGGTCTCGTGGTGTAACAATCTTCAGTTTGCCGTATGGCACCTTTTCTCTCTCTTCCTCGTGTGTCTGGTCTTGGGGGTGGGGTTTAGATAATATTTTTGTATTGGTATGAAAGACTCTTAATAGAAGCAAATTTTCCAAAGTCTCAAGAACTTAGTTGATTTTCCTTACAATGCTGCAATCACGTGCCCTGTTTTCAACTACTTAAGGCTACCCAGTATCTTCGTATGGTGAGAAAAACCAAGGTTGGCCAGCCAATAACCCGATCAGTCAAAATCTAAGACGAAATTTCTTTAAAGTGCTGAGGTCGTAAGTCTATTACATTTGCCAGTTGAGTGCTCGGATACCAACAAAAACTAATTAGACATAGAAGAGCTAATGTTCGCTTGTTCATCAATACATGTACAACAATAAATGTCGCCACTGTCAGTAAAGAACTATACCTTCATCAGGTAGTCACATCAATAGAATGAGAATAACCTTAAGGAGCTCCAGCTCAGTGCATTTGTTCTTGGGACATGTAGCAGAGGGGGGAGGGATAGAAGAAAGCCCTACCACCTACAATAATCATGCCCGTGAATGAGTTTGATAAGAGGAAGAAAGAAGGAAAAAAAAAAAAGAGAGAAAAAAGGAAAGAAATAAACACAGGTTGAAAACGTGACTAAAAGGTGTGACGCGGACTAAATGATTTGCCGTATAACCGAGCCAATGCGAGGCGGGCAATTTGCGAGTGACGCCCCGACTGGCAGAATCCGAACAGGCCAAAAGTGCTCTCTCCAAGAACATCGGCTCTTCAAGCTCTGCATTGGGCATCTCATCCACCCATCTCCTTTTCCTTTTATTTCCCTTTCCCTTCCCTACCCTTTTTAATTTCTCACAGCATGCGGCCGCAGTTGTTTCGTGCGGCCGCTCGGGCTGTCCGGGTCCCAGGAATCAACAACCTGAGGTCCTTTGCGACGACAACCCCTCGCCTTGCCGAAGTGGAACTCACAATTGGTATGACTTCGTTAATCTTCCAACTTTATACTGTATTAAAGTTGATTGTTATGGCTTTAGATGGTAAAAAGGTATCAGTAGAAGGTGATTTGACCTTGGGCTACGACGTTCTAGCTCTCCCTGCTTACACCTTTCCACAGCCGGATCAGCTCTTATTCAAGCTTGCGAGAAAGCGGGCGCGACAATTCCAAGGTATGGAGGCGTCTAATGAAGATTATTAAACATTGCTAATAATAATAATCTCAATAGATACTGCTACCACGAGTGCGCTCAGCCCCCCCTAGAGTCCCGTTTATATCCGCTGCTAACATCCCAACAGAAAACTTATGATTGCAGGAAATTGTACGTTCTCATATAATGCCAGTTTTCAAGATTTTCTAACCTCGTGTTAGGTCGTATGTGCCTAGTTGAAGTTGAGCGTGCACCGAAACCAGTGGCATCGTGCGCTTGGCCCGTACAGCCGGGAATGAATGTGAAGACCAACTCACCGCTTGTTCACAAGGCGAGGGAGGGCGTTATGGAATTTCTCCTCGCTAATCATCCTCTTGATTGCCCCATCTGTGACCAGGGCGGTGAATGTGATCTTCAGGATCAGTCAATGCGTTATGGTGCCGATCGTGGGCGCTTCCATGAGGTTGGGGGCAAGCGAGCGGTGGAAGATAAGAACATCGGACCTTTGGTCAAGACGTCTATGAATCGATGTATTCATTGTACCCGCTGCGTTCGATTCATGAACGATGTTGCTGGTGCCCCGGAACTCGGAACTGCCGGCAGAGGAAACGATATGCAGATCGGCACCTACCTGGAGAAGAACCTCGATTCTGAGCTCTCCGGAAATGTTATTGATCTCTGCCCCGTCGGCGCACTTACTTCGAAGCCTTATGCTTTCCGTGCTCGTCCATGGGAATTGAAACACACCGAATCCATTGATATCCATGATGCTTTGGGCTCCAACATCCGGATAGATAGCAGGGGTATGGAAGTCATGCGGATCATTCCGAGACTCAACGATGACATCAACGAGGAATGGATCAACGATAAATCGCGCTTTGCGTGTGACGGCTTGAAAACCCAGAGGCTTACAACGCCTCTTATCCGCAGGGAGGGAAAATTCGTCCCCGCGACATGGGAACAAGCCCTGGCTGAGATCTCCTCTGCCCGTCAGAAACTCCAGCTCAAGGAAAATGAATTTAAGGCTGTTGCTGGACACTTAGTAGACGCCGAATCGCTCGTTGCCATGAAAGATCTAGCTAACAAGCTTGGTTCTGACAATCTTGCCTTGGATCAGCCGGGTGGCAGCTCACCCATTGCCCACGGTGTTGACGTTCGTTCGAGCTATCTCTTCAACTCTAAGATCTATGGTATCGAAGAGGCCGATGCCATCCTGTTGGTCGCTACAAACCCTCGCCATGAAGCTTCGGTCCTTAACGCACGCATCCGCAAACAGTATCTGCGTTCTGATCTCGAGATCGGGCTCGTTGGTGAAACGTTTGAGAGTACCTTCGACTTTGAGCACCTTGGCTCCGATGTTTCCGCTTTAAAAACGGCGCTTGCAGGGAAATTCGGTGAAAAGCTTGCCACCGCAAAACGCCCCATGGTGATCGTTGGTAGCGCTGCAGCAGAGCACGCGGACGCCAAAACGATTTTTGAGACAGTCGGCAGCTTTGTAGAGAAGCATTCGAGTACATTCAACACCTCTGAGTGGCAGGGCTACAATGTTCTTCAGCGCGCTGCATCCCGTGCTGCTGCCTACGAAATTGGTTTCACCACGCCGTCCCCGGAAGTTGCTCAGACCAAACCCAAGATGGTTTGGCTCCTCGGAGCGGATGAAGTCGGTCAGACTGAGATCCCGAGTGATGCTTTTGTCATTTACCAGGGACATCACGGTGATCGTGGTGCTCAACTTGCCGATGTTGTCCTTCCAGGTGCTGCCTTTACAGAGAAGTCCGGCACATATATCAATACTGAGGGACGTGTACAAGTTACTCGTGCGGCCACCTCGTTGCCTGGTGCTGCACGCGACGACTGGAAGATTATCCGTGCCACCAGTGAGTTTCTTGATGTGCCACTTCCCTATGACGACATTGAAGCACTTCGCGACCGTATGGAAGAGATTAGCCCTGTGATGCGCCGATACGACGTCGTTGAGCCAACTTCTCTGGGCTCATTGAGCAAGGTTCAATTGGTTGAGCAGAACAAGGGCACCCAGCCAACCTTAGCACCTTTCAAAAAGGTTATCGATGACTTCTATTTTACCGACTCCATCTCTCGGAGGTATGTACCCTTGCAGTTCGTTCATCCATGTAAATATTTGTTTCTAATCGAGATACAGCTCGCCAACGATGGCCCGATGCTCAGCAGCTAAGGCCACAGGAAACCCGGAGACGAACTTTATGGCCGCTGGTGAAATGTCTCCTCAGGCTCTGTACGGCTAAGCACATGCGATTTAAAGCATGATATGCCTAGATCTTTTTTCTTGTTTGTCTATTGTCTAGGCGTTGTCGTTGTAACACCTATACTTGTCTATTTGTGTTTTGTTCCCTTTTTGCTGAAACTGTTAGTCGTCATGTTTTGCCACCTCATTCCCAAGATGCCTCCCATATCACCCTCTGGTATAGAATGGGATGCCAGTAGCGGTGAACTTGTACATAAGATTGAGGTAAAATTCAGCTTTTACGCATAAAGGTACTTTAGGATCTTTGGGTATTCATTATAATGCCAGACCTGTGGATGAAGCGTTGAAGTTGGTTGCATTTCACAAATTAAAGAGTGTCCAGCTTGTTCAGATTGGAGAGTGACAAGTGTTAGTGCAACAAGAATTGTGATATACGCCAAGTAATCCCAACTACTGCTCATTAATTAAACGCTGATGCGAGTCATAGTTCATCGTCATCTGTCTCCCCGGTAGTATCCTCTGTGTTATTCTGCTGTTCATTTGGTTTTTTTATGGTCGTTTGCGCCTTTCTGGCAAATGGAAGCTCTCTTCGCGGAGGGGGAGCAGGCGATTCCTTCATAACAGGAGGACCAGCCGGACATCTTTGTTCGAACATATGCATTTCGTCCTCACCGCCAATCAGATCTGAGGGTGCAGGAGACCCTTCATCAGTGGCATTCTCGCCCCATTCCTCCAGTGGCTGGGGTGTTGAAGATCGTTCATCGGTCGTCTCATTGGCCTCCTCAAAATCAATTGGGTGCATGGTTTGATTGAATTCCATTGTTTCGAATTCCTCTTCACTCTCAGCCTCACCGTCGCTCATTTCCGCAGCGGTACGCTTTGCGGCCCGAATATTCTTGTGCGGTCGGATATGCTGATCTGATGTTGCATTCTGGATCCAAGACACTGGTTTATGAACTTGCAGGTTAACGGCTAATTCCGTACTGGATAGTACCTAACCTAATCTCACCTTTTTCCCGGTCTACTTTTGCAGAGGCTAGCAAGCGTTGCTGGTTGCGTATCTTGAGTTTTTTTTCGTTCAACAGCTGGACGAAATTGACTATCAGTTGTTCTTCGTGCTGTGTCTTCGCGGAAATGAACTCCTCGAGCTGCTTGTTCAGTTGTCTAATTGTGTTCTCGGCACTGTGATAGCGAACAAGCAATGAAGCGAAACGCTGCTCGAGAGTATACGACCTGACGGCAGCAATCCCTGCCCAGTCAAAGAGCTGGATAGCTTGTTGATCATCCTGCCTGAGAGTCACGGAGCCAAGCCTTTGCTGTAAGTTGTCAATATTTAGTTCCGTGTTTCCACGCAAAATGCACATACAGTTATGGTCTGGATCCTCTTTCGAATAGTGATCACTAGCTCCTTGTCTTCGGAGTCACTGGCACCAATGACACTAGCCGACGATTCAATACCACACAGCTTCACCTTTGCGGCAGACTCATCCAGCTGACCAAAAACATGCGACACAATTTCGGCCCATTCCTCGTCGTTGCCTTCATAGTTTTTGGAACGAAAATCACGTAAGTGTGACTTACGCACTACCCTGATTGTCTTAGCTCTTGCTTAACTCGTTGAACAATAAATAAATCTGAAAAAAGTACGAGATCGGCGCACCGGTACCAATATACGGGTTCTCGCCTTCAGTAGCAGTGATGTTCAAGTCCACAAGAGACGAGCTAGTGCGAGTGATATGAACAAGTACATATGATTCAGGGTCGTCAGTCCTGGGTATACGCAGAACCCCAGGAGACAGGCCAAGCTCGGAGGACATACTGGGCGATGTCAAAAATGGCCGAGGGACGATTAAGAATAGAGGGGGTATTTGGACCAATGCAGTTGCCGTTATGAAGGTGGTATCTTAAAGCTTCGAGCGCGGTGGGTCATAGTAGGCTGCGGGCTAGGTATTGGGATAGCTGCCTGCTAGGCTCTAATTCATCAAACGTTAAGATTAAGAATGAGGATGACGGTACAGAGTACTGCAGGTAGTTGTACGGAACAGTACGGAGTTAGTGCGCAGCTTAACTACTTTTAGTAAAATTAAAACACTGCCATGCCCACTACCTGCCGAGGTGGCGGTTTCTCTGTTAGGTAGAGAGCTTGACGAAGGTTTTGATGATTATGCTTAGAGATACTAGATAGATACGATACATAGTATATACAGTTCTCGAGGTCTGTCTCTAGGGCAGAAGTGGCTTTGTCTGGTTAGGCTGGTACTATACTATATTTATTCTACCTTGAACTATCACAACAGAAAACCTAGAATGGTGTGTTATATTTGATATGTCATTGCAGCCTGGAGTTTACTCAATACACATCGAATGTTTATTCATAGCTACCGGAGCAACCTCCCTCCATTAATCCTGCCCACATTGTGGCAGGCGACTCACTTCAAGTGAATACCTAAATACCTCTCTGCCGAACAACATCCAACGCCTTGTGGATCCGAGTGACCATCAGCGCAACAATACTACTACGTAGTAATAATACTAAACCGTACTAGTACCATACTATACTAAATGATTAGTGCCACCAAACCCAAACTAGAGATGCGGCTAGTGAGCAAATAATAGTAGTAGGTGCCTTTTCCCAAGTCCACCTTCTTTCCTTCCTGTTAATTAAAACCCCCATTCCTCAGTCATTATCTACTTTCTTCTTAAAAAGGGAAGAAAAAGTGAGAGAGCAAGAAGAAAAGGAGGGGGAATCAAACCCGCCCCTTTGCAACCCCCTACAAATCATCGACTGAGGCTTTCTAGTTTGGAAGTATCCACCAATGGTTGTGTACTTTATCAACCCCTTGTTCCCTAACGTTTAAACCATCCCTCCTCCTTGAGGAATCCTCCAGCCACCATCACGGCCACGACCACTCCACACGCGGACTAGCACGACTGCTGAGTATCAGCCTCGTGTCGATTTTCTCCGTAGGGCCGGTCACCTGTTTCGTTTCTCTTTTGTGGAGGCACGCGCGACTAGTCTTTTGACTCTACCACCTGTCTACGATTCACTTGATTTTAACATATTAATCTTTACGAAGGGAGACGGGGCTTCAAGGAATACGCACCCTTCAGGAACAAGAAAGAGATTGCTCCACCTGCCAAACCCGCAACGTCACCTAACCCAGCCGATTCCACTCACACGGAATGACGTTCCTTTTCTGTATCGACGCAGTAGGTTTCAACGCCGGTGAAATCTGAACCTACTCCTCCGGGAAGCGATCTATAATTGTATCCGTTCAACATTTCCCCCGCGCTGACATGGAGTCGTTAACACTCCAAGTACGCCGTAGTGAAGAAGAAACAATTGAATGCTGGGACGATGATGACGACCTACAGTGCTACGAGGACATCCAGTTGCGCACCGCATCAAGTGCCACATCAGTAACTAATTCGTCTATTCGTCGATCTGGACACCGAGATTCAATTTCCTCTCGTCGTTCTGGACGTTCCGATCTTGATTCCAACGTGGGTGGCGACGAGGATTGGCAAGTTCAACTATTAGATAATGAAGAAGGTGTGAATGAAGAAGCGATAGCTTCTGCTAAGAATGCAGGAATTCCTTTACCTGCAAACTTGCCTAGGTCAGCTCTTGTCGGGGGCACTATTAAACGCCTGGGGCGGAGGAAACCCAAGCAAAACTTTGTTGATGATTGGTCCGAAGACGTGGAATTCCCAGGACCAGATGGTGTCTTGGAGTTAAAAAGTCCACAAGAGTCGGCGTTCCCTGAATCGCTCCGGCAGATTAGCTCTGCTGCTACGAGCCCTGTGAAAACGTCGGCTTCACCCTTCTGGAGTGATGACATTTCTTCCCACCTGCAGTCTGCACTCGCAAATTTGGATAGCTACCAGGTCGATGATAGTGTCGACGATGCCGATGATGTTCCTACTATAAGAGCTCCGGTATCTCGGTCTCCGCAGAGGAATGGTTTCCCTGACGATTCGAGGCCTGACAAACAGAACAATGACTCAGAGGATTTTGAGCAGGATTTTGAATTGCCGGCGGATGACCTGCCTTTACGGTTATCACATCGACAAGTCATCTCGAGGGGTTCAAGCCCTACGCCCGATGAGTTAGATGTTGACTGGTCTGAAGGTAGTATTGGCGTCCGGGTTGGTGGTACTACAAGAGATCATCGATCAAATCCAAGCTCCTCAGTCTCTGTAGTCAGCCCCAGTGCTTCCAGTTGCCTGACTGCGGAGAGTGAGGATGAAGGCCTAGATGGCCTCATCATCCCCGACGGACCTTTGGACTTAGAGTCATCTCTTAGGAAGCGGCAAGACCCGAAGTATATAAGCCTAAGCCACCCGAAACTAGCGAAGCCAAGCCGTGAGTCGGCCAGCGCAGATAACTTCTTCTCGGGTCTCGAAATCGAGGACGATGACGTCTTTGATTCAAGGAGGCTCTCGATAAATCCAAACATCAAATGCAAGACAGAACGCCCTGGCAGCCCAGCCAGGCGTTCTGCAACTACGCTGACCTTCACGCATACAACAGTTTCCCCAAAGACTCGGATACCCCGTCTTACTAGTCACGATCGTCCGCATTCGACACACCTGGAGACTGTTTCAGAAAGCGGTGCTCCTCTATCAAAGTTCCGGACGCCTCCGTCACGAGGAGGGGGGCATTCTTCGCATTCATCACTGTCTAGTCTTATACCATCCGGAACTACATCAATGTCGCCGATTAATTCCGCTCCAAATAGACGACTCGTCGGTTCGCGAGTCCCAAAGGGCTCTGTCGGTAGCGAACGTATTACAGCGGGAAATCAGCTACTGAAGAAGAAACGGTCAATGCCATCTATGCGAAACACACAACAGCCAGCGACACCATCTTTCCAATGCTCCCCTTCTCGCCAAGATGGATCGAACTTCTCTACCACCCGACCAAAAACTCCGGTTGATCGCGCAAATGACGTGAGGACATTGAGCCGTAAATCACATGCACCGTTTATCCCAGCTGGTGCGTCAGAAAATCAGTCACATCATGCCAGCGTCAAAAGCTACCGGCAGTTCCGTCGTACAAATTCGGATAGCTCCAATGACGCATTCAATTCGCAAGCTCCATCTCGTCTGTCTCGGTCGAGTCGACATGACGCTTTCGGCAATACCAGAAATGAGTCAAGCCCTGAAGCCTTAGTCACTTCCACAAAGAGGACGCTTACCCGCCCTACCCGTCGGCGTAACTTTGGTGACGGTTCTGAACTCACGTCATTTGATGACCTGCCTACGTCTACTTCAGCAGAAAGCCGATTCGTCAAGCTTCCTTCTGGACGTGGAGCCCCGCGGTCCCTTCGAAGTCGGCTGAATCGAAGCCACACCATCCCGTCGAGGACACAAACTCCTAACCCTCAACAACCGGTACTAGGTACCGCCTCAAAGTCTCATGACTCCACTCCCAGATTTGCACAAGATACCAACGCGTCAAGAAACGCAAGAGAGCAGCGTATCGCCTCAATGACATTTAGCGGAAAGGCTCGTGAGAATACCTCGCTTACCTCTTTGAACGCAATCTGGAAAGCACAAACAGTTTCGCGGGTTCCTTTAAACTCGACAATAAGAAGCAGAAAGAGTAAAGCGGCCATTGCGGCTGGGTGCAAACCACATTTAATTAAGCCTTTGGGGGCAGGTGTCCAGGAGCCCAAATGTACGTTGATTCTCCGCTTGGGATATTGGACTATGGACTGACTCACCTAGCTGTAAACGGCATGCAATACAATCCTACTACTTTTTGTTGGGAAGGAAACGAAGGCTTGATTCGCGAGTTTGAAATGAGTTCACCCAAATCACCAAAGCCAGCACCCGCCCTTATTACCAACGTAGGTGCGATGCAGAACGTGCAGGTAGTTGGTGGGATGGTGTTCGATCCCCAGCGTATGTGCTGGCTTAAATTGGCGCCACTGCAACCAGGGACAAAGGGGCTGGTGGCAATCCAGGATGATGATGATGATGTTTTCGCCGGTCTTGGTGACCTGGAAGACAAGGCTAGCAGTTCCAGACTGCGAAACTCGAGTACGTATGACGATTTTGGTTTTGGTGGGAGCGGCGACGATCGAAGCTGTGGAGATTCGTCAGACGAGTGGCCTATGACGGAGGAATTTGATGTTGGTCCAGAATTCATCAGGCGTCAACGCGCAGAGGAAGAAAAATGGAGACGTAAGGTTGACAAGTGGGTCAGCTTCGATCGCATGAGATTTGGGGACGGCTGGCGGTGGGCTATTCGAGACTTGGTGCAATTTAACAGCACATGGGACCACAATAGTGGGTGATCAACATCACCTTTCTGTTCTCACCACCCTCTCTGGCGAAAAGGGCGATTGAAAAGTAAAAGAAAAATGAGAGGTGAAGGGGGGCAAAAGTGGGGGAAAGGCAAAAGAAAAAGGAAGAGTGGGAGAATTGGTAGAAGAGAAGTTGAAGCAGTGATACCCATTGAAGACAATGGAGTATAACTCCATTGGTCGATGCACTTCTAATATTTTGATGATGGTAAGAAACGTTTTCATGATAGTGGGACATTCCTAATTGTGGTTAAGCTGCAATGGGCATCCTGCATGAGGTTATGACGAAAAGCCATGGACTCCTTGACCTTAACGAACCAGTCGATGCTATGATCTTCCTCTGTCAGTTTTTCTTTAGATAGGCTATTGTTATGCCTTATACAAGTATCGATGGGTGGTACTAAGAAGCAGGAGTTCTATGTATTTATAATTGTGTGCGGTATATACCTCTTTGTTTAACTGATCGAAACTTTTTTACAGGGTCCATGTCCGTTTATGCACCAGCCATTCCGTTTGTATTTAATTTATAAGATCACCCTAGTTAGCGGATCCATGCATGGTGAACAATTGGCGAGAATGAGAGTACACGATAATACTAGTATCTCCATTTTCCTGTATTATTTTTTTTTCCCCTAAAATTGTTCAAGCCACTTTTCGCCAACAGAAAGGAAGTTCAGGAAGGGGAGTTAAAACATAATCAGACACATAAGAGAGACCGTGCACCAAATCTTCCACGCAGGTTGCAACAATTGCCAGGCCATTTACGCATGGATATAGTACTATCTTTCAAAAGTCTTACGAAATTAATGATACTATTCTATTCTGTACAACATGCATCTTCCCAGCAGCCCTCAGCCAGCCTCCGATGCTTTCCAGTAGACATGGCGATTGTTTGTGTGACACCGCATCAGATCGACTACACGTAGACCCGAAAGGACAACTAGTCTCTTAGTTTGACCAATGATTTTGCAACAAACAGGTTGCAAACTCACCCAACTAGTATGGAGTCTGGGTGTGTACTAGTAACAAACGGTCAAGGGACTTGAAGGCAGACTTCTATGGGCCAAAGCACCCTATGGCTCGAATAGTCGCGTCGCTCCTGCTACCCAGTAGCATCATCGGTATTAGTATCACCTTTAGAGCTGCTTAATATGTGTCAAAAGGTACATCATGGGCACAGCCCTTTTTATTAAATGTATTGTGCTCTATAGATGTTCAGTGCTTTTCTTGAGAATTCTATTGCCCACTCGGTGTTCCAGCTATTAATATAGTTTATGCACTTGGATGCCTGACTAACGAGCTACAGAGCATACCCAAGTCCCGAGTCTTAGAATAATTGTTTTTACTGGATTCTAGACTGCGACTAGGCCTTTCACCGCAAAGTTGACCACCCAACCACTCATTTTTCATCTACCATAGTAATTTCCGTCAAGCATAATTTCCTGGATGCGCACTACTAGTACTCTTCCCCTGGCCCCGTGCAGAAGCCCTAGCTTGATTTGGGTTGCTACTCCTGAGGACACGGTGTAGAATAGGGTAATATGGTAAAGAGTGCATCTAAGACGCAGTTACTCTAAGTCTCTAACTAGATCCTCCCACACTCTCTTGATAATGTAGTGATCCACAGGCTTCTACTCTTGCTTTGACGTTGCTGCGGGTAACAGTAATGATTGGGCAAAACATTGGTCAACCATCCCAGTTATGATTGTACACTGGAAAATTCAAGTTGAGATGAGCAAAGGATGACATATTGCACATAAAACCATATAAATCTGTGCTCCATAGTCAGAATAAGGGATCCATATATGCTGTAAGATTGGTAGACTTTTGTGTCAATGCTTTATTATACCCACTACACGCTGATGGTGGGAGCCCATAGTCAAGATAATATTTGCACCACACTTCTAATGATAGTATATCATATATAGCCTCTGCAGGGAACTCAGCTCTGAAAACCAGCCACTGATATCAGTCCCATTGACTAGACCCACAGAAACTACCGCGTCCTACATGGACCCCTGTTGAATTGTTGTGTACAGAGAGACAAACAGATGGAGCCCCGTCCATCTCACCCGGTTACTGGCAGAAGGGTTTCTATTAATGCATACAGGATACAAGGGAAATGACTCTTGTATGATATTTGTTAGAATAGCCAGAGTAACATGACAATGATCACATATGCTTCTGTATTTGGGTATATCTAAATAGAAATTACTTCTAAACTACAGCATCTGTGTCACACATTCAGTACTACGATCTTCGATTCCATGGTTGCGAACTCCAAGCTCCCAGAGCCTATGTAGCGAGCGTTAGCTGCGGTGGAAGTATTTGTTGTAATGTTGAAGCTAGAGACTGGTTTGTTTCTATACGTTCCTTCTACTGCTGCTCCTTCTTTTCATTACCCCCCTCAACCCCCCATGATCATTAGGCTATAACGTAGGTATGAATGTAAGTTCATCTTTCATGCGTGGCACTGGACAACATCAGCGCTTAAATGGTGTTGTCAAACAAGACATACCAAAGTAGGCAGGTCACTGTCTGGGATCTCTTAAGCCCTTCCTCAACATTTTTAGTGTCTCTTGATATCACCGACCCTTTGCATGGCAGCATTATAAACTATACCGGCTAGTCTATAACGGCCCACGGAATTTCCTGCAAGTGAATGAATTTATGGAAACCTAAGAACCCTAGTGTAGTACAGTGTTCAGGTATGCTGTACAGAAGTACAGGCATCCGCTGTTAAGCAAAAGCCAATTATGAAGGAATTACATACCGGATAGTGCCACGGAAAAGGATATTCTCATTTTTTTTCGACCACCAATAATCCTGGATACACAAGCAGTCAAGTGTAATCTGTAGATGGTAGATATATGTGTAGTACTAGGTGGGTACGTCCTGTCTTTATGTTATGTGCCAAGCAACATCCTATACCAATTCATACAGTATTTCATACAGTACCATATCATACACCCTGCCGTCCGTTCTGAAGTTGTTCCGTATTTAAAAGGTAAGAAGGATTGAACAAAGAGAGCTTGCTCCGTAACATGAACATAACCATAACCTACACAGAGTATAGCCTAGAGGTGAGATTGTGCTGGATACATGTATGTACATTTCTTGTCTGTATTTCTCTGCTTCGGCCTCCATCCATTCTATTGAGGCTGATGGATCTACATATATACAGAACATACAATACTTACCATACGGAGCGGTGACCGAAAGGGCCTGAAGAATAAATGGGTTCTAGTAACCTTGAACCCTTCTACAGAAGCCTTTTCTATACATACACTCTACAGATATCTCACTCCACCAGGCCAATCTAACTGCCAGCATGTACTACCTGCATTACAGTATCCACGGCCTAGAATTTACGTATACTGCTGCCCGATGAGACCATACCGTACACATTTGGTTGTTTTTCTCCTTGATGTGTGTGTGTGTGTCTTCAGGAAACTAATAAGGGGCTTCAAATGGGCTTCTGCGCAGAGGCTTCGCTACCATCTTATTGGATTATGTATTAACCCAATAGGTGGTGAAAAGCCTGAAGCAGTGCATCACGGGAAGAGTATTAAACGGTTAGTCGCTGCTAGGTACTACTGAGACAAGATAGATACGCACTGTCTCTTGGTCTCTTCACCCTGAATGAGGGAGTGCTTGTCAATATGCATCGAAGGAGCGGTGCGTAAGAAGCAGGGAAGAGAATGAATGAAAAAGAGACTCAAATACCCACCATGTAGGTGAGAGCAAGGGTCGACTTCTTCAGTACAGCCAATAAAGGTGATTCCTACACAGTTCTCAGCTAAGCTGTACCTCGCAGTGGAAACTGGTCCTCAGTCACCGCATGGACCATTGATTGCTCTGCAACGCAAGCACCTGGGGCGTTACAAGTGAGCTGCTGGAAATATGAAAGATCTGAATTGTATCACCGGCACACATCCTCGAGAGTCCTATGTGTCCCTGATTTCTTTTTCTTCTCTTTTCTTCTCTCTCTCTCTCTCCCTCTCGTTTTCTTTTTTTCTTTATTCTTTATTCTTTTTTTATTCTTCTTATTTTCTTTTATTTATTTTTTTATGCCCCCGAATGTACTTCCTTCTCTAAATACCTTTGTGCCATTGAAGGAAAAGGCTTCATGGAGACTTCCAAAGCTCGACCTGTTCTTCCCTTCTTACCTGTCCCTGCGCCTTTTTTTCTTTTCTGCTTTTCTGTATTTTTTCTTTTATTTTCTTTTCTTTTCTACTTTTTTGTCCTCTCTCACTCTTTCCCTTTTTCTATCTTCTATTGTCCTTTTCTCAATGATGATCTTTGATTGTCTGATTATCCTTGTCGGTTCCACAAGTTATTTGGCCTCACCATCTACAAGCCTCCTTCCTTCCTCTCTTTCCTTTCCTTTCCTTTTCTGTTTTGATTTGCCAATCTCATTCGCAGTATCTTGCTTTCGATGTGATGGTTGCTTCTTCTCTTTTTCTTTTCCTCTGTTCTGCAGGAAGTACCTTACAGAGTCTTCTCTAGACTTCGTTCTTCCTTAGCCCCAATGCTATATCTCCCGTGTTATTTCTTATGTTACTTTTTATATGCCAAAGTCAATAATATTCAAAGCAAATTTGTTTTTACCCAGGAAACCTGGAGTCTGTCAGCTGTCGCCGATGCCTCGGACTTCTTGGAGGTTACCTTGCATCGTTCCAGGGTAGGGTGCTATGGTCTTGCACATATATACCTACTAGCTCTCTATATGTCATGCATACTGAGGCCTTCTATCAGAAGTTCCTAGGCTTTTCTTCCCTTATTTGAGACTCGGAGCCCGCTCGCCATCATTGGGATCCATAGTATACGAGCTGTGTTTTATTTGCACCTCCATCACTTTTATTCTTCTGGGTCTACAAGTTTTCCATCCTCTCTTATTCCTCAACCTCTCTCGTGCTTAGGTGGTTCCCTTTCCTTCGACACCATCTCGGTATACACTTTATTTTGAGAGTCTATATCGCCAGGTTTCTCAGAAACCGCATCTTACTACTCGAGAACTTTTGGCTTATAGAAACTTCACCCCTACTATATCACATCTATCTCTGTCTCAGTATATATTTGGATGATAGGGCGAGCAGTGCGAGTTGCTTCCCCGTGCAGTGAAATTGCTCGTGTCAATCTGTGCATACATTAACTTAGAATATTCTCCACCCCCGACTGCCAACAAGAGACGAAAACCAAACCGAAAGTCATCATGAGTGGTTTTGGAAGGCGAAGTAATGAGGGCCATGGTAGCTACATCGTCAACCAGCAAGTTGCCTTACCTGTTCCATATAGCCAAGGGGAAGGCCATGAGTTCAGCGTAAATGACTCTGGCTCATATCATTTTCCATCTCAGTCTTTCAACACATATACCTCCCAGTTCAGCTCTCCATATAGCCATTCAGGCATATCATCTCATAACCAGCATTTGTCTTCTCACCACTTACCTGTGCACTCTGTGCCATCAACCCCTGAACATACGGCCCTACAACAACACCACCCTCATCAGTCGGTACAGTACATGGCACCGTCACGCTATTTCCAATCCCAAAGGTATCTGCCTTTCCGCGAGGCACTTGGGGAGACAGATATCGAAAGTCAAGACTCCCGAAACGAGAATACGATGTTATCGGAACCAGTCATTCCTCCACTGGATGGGTTCCCAAATGTACGGGAGTTCGATCAACTAATGAGAAGGTAAGTAGTCCACACGTTCAAAGAATTCAATTTGGTGTTGTTAGTGGAGATAACTCTTACATATGCGGGGTATGGTATTCTAGTTATGTCGACGACCTCTCTGTTAAGAAGCAAGACAAAGCGTTGATTCATGCTAAAAGGGCGAGAAACATAAGGACAGTCTTATTAGACCCAAAAGATACGACTGTAGAATCTGCCCAGTTTCGGTATGAATTTGTCCTGTCCTTTGCCTGCGGCTGAAAGCATCCCTACTACTTCAAGCCTTTCATCAAGGCAATGATTATATTAGCATCAGCTAAATGGAAAGCATCAGATTTTGGGTCAAAAAGATGTTCAAACTTCAAGTAGTTGGCACAGGGACTTCAGATGTCTGTATCCCCTCCTGACCAAGTCGAATAACTTCATTGCTGATGCCCATATGCCTTTCAAGTGCATGCAAATGATCTGTCATGAAGGAAAGCCCGTGGCTATTCGAGAGAAACTTTTCAAGATTCTTACCAGGGCACATCAACAGTGCCAACACGGTGGTAGAGATAAGACATCTGCTCAAGTGCGGCAGATCTATTCATGGTACGTCTGTTTGTTTTCCAAACGATAGGCCTGCACCTTCCACACCTATCTTTTTGAGAGTACCCCAAGTCATCAATTGGCCAATGAAAACTGACTGGAAGCATATGTTGACCATCGTAAAAGGGTACCTAAAGAACTAATCTCGCGATTTGTCAAAATTTGTCCGACTTGTCAAGTTCGCCGGGGGGGTTCGCGCCTCACTCCTCCTAATTCAAGAAGAAGCTCACCCCGTCTCGAGATAGTATCTCGTTCCCCAAAACTTCCATCACCACCCATATCAAGGTGTGAATCCAATCTGAACGTCCAATTGCCGTTGGACAGGCCCCAGGCAAACTACTTGACTCAATTTAATGGTCACAATAGCTGGTCAGAGAGTCAAAAGGGTATGCACCAACGGCCAAACTTCAGCCCCGGACACGGCTTTGCAAAAGCAACACCACCCCTACCCAGTTCAGTTTCAGTGTTGGACTCTCTCCATGGGGATCTTCCAGACCCATCGTCACAGATCAATTACAATTCGGGGTTTGCTACTACACATAGCCCATCTAGCCATCGAGACTTTTAAAGCTCTCCATCTGACCTGCGAATCCTCAAACAGGTTCGGAATTACCCCGACAATCTGGCAACTTGGTTTATTTCTTTTTCTCTTATATGCTTCCTTCCTGCTCTTTCAATCTTTTAATACAAAGAATGTCTGTTTCTCAAGTAAAGTTTAGCAGTTTTCAACAAGATTGTTTATCATTGGAGAAGTACGTAGTAGAATTCTACTAACCATGTGTTAAGTCATGATTCGTAGGCCACTCATTGCCAAGATTGCGGTTTATTTTATGTCCAAGACGCATAGCTTGTCCGATATTCTAGCCTAAAGAATGAAGTAGCCCTCGAGCGTGGTTCAGTCAACCGAGTTTGCGACTCTGAAGTTCCTTTTTCCATTGTAAGCATATTCCTTTACATTATGTTTACACGAATTTCGCACCAAAGGTCTCATTCTAATGGGAATCGACTGTAACACTCCGTTTTCCTCACGATTAAAGCTGCAGGCATTTTCGGATCGGCTCGACCACGATACGCCTCTGACATGATTATTCAAACTGCCAAGAGTAGAAAAGCCATTAATTTACATACAAGCAAATCCATCAAAATTGAAACGTAGCCTAGAGTTTTGAAGCGAGTTGAGATACAGTACATAACCATGATAAACGCCAAAAGGTACCTTGATCACTGCTTCCAAGCCCACCTGTAAATGGATAACTCCGTCTAACACCAACGGTCAGACAGGAAGTGAGAACTTCTTTCCTTTCATGACCCTACTCATATTTAGTACATTATCGGGCTCCAAGATTCTCGGGTGACTTACTTGGTATAATAGATATAGAAGAAATCCGAGTATAGGAGTGTTTGGACGATGCCTGCTACAACAGGGACGGGCTGAAAGTAGCTTTCCGCGAAGTAGCGATAGATCCAGTTGGGTATGTAGAGGGCGCGGTATAGACCCAATGCAAAGAGGTAGTGCGTTGTTATGGTGTCCGCCTCGCCAGTACGTTGAAGCATGAAGAGCTGAGGGAGGATGGCAACAGATTCAAGCCAAATCGAGAACGTCCAGAGAATCTTGCTATTGTCAGAATCCGCATGGGACAAAAAAGTGATTGAAGAACTGACTTCGGAGACACTATAGTCATGTGGGAAGAGAAGAGCTAGCAAAGTACCGGCCCCGAGGAGGTATTGGACTTTGAATGTATCGATATTCGGATCATGTGTGGGTTTATAGTCATTAAGCATAAGATAGATGATATAAGCTGATGAGCCAATGAACAATATCTTGAAAGTCGTGTTGTATAGGGAATCGGAAAAGGCCCAGAAGAGATCTAGAATATTGGCAAGAATTAGAGAAGTTTTGCGAGGTGCGATGGGAAAGAAAACATGAAGCCCTTACCAAGATAGCGAGTCACAAAAACCATCAAATATAAAGCCTGTGATTTGAATGACAGCCCAGAACAGCTCTAACTTGCGAGTTAGATTTGATTTGAGGACTACAGATAGCAAGCGGAAAACTATACGCTAGACGACTTCATTTTATGTAGAAGAATAAAGATGGACGCGAGGTGCGAGAAATCAGCTAGTTCGAATGTTAGAACGATTGCTAGATAGTATCACAATATACTCACCCAAAAGCCTGAAGATATTCATGGTTTATGAATTCAAGCGGAGTAGGTCTAGATTGATTGGAGATACCAAATATATAATGAACGAAATGAAGATTGTTTGATAACAGTTTAAGAATCTCCTATAATCAATTGCTATGCGATTTAGGTAAACCAGTGAATTCCACTGTTGGTACGGAGCATAGTAATCGCACCTAGGGGAGGCGGCCCTGAACAATGTTGACACGAAGCCACAACAAGCAGGCGCGACAAGCAAATTCTCCGCCCCACACACAGAGCGCGCTCTAGATACGTAATTCCACCTGTAGATACTCCGTACTTAAACTCCTTTTTGAATCAAATACCAACACTACGGAGTACAGTCCTTTGCCCTTCTCCCCCTCACGTGGCCGACTTTATTTTGTTATGTTTTGGTGTTTGCCCTCCCCTTTCTTCCCCCCTCATCCATTTTTTTTTAAAGGTTTAATTTATTGCCTTGTCATTCTTCTTCAATTGTTGGTCCTTGTATCGTAAGTAAGAGAGAGAACAAAAAGGCAGAAATCCACCTCTCTTAAATATTATGAGCAATTCTCGTCCTTAAGTGACAATGATTCCCAACATTGTACTTTCAAAAGATCGCGCTAACATGTGCGCTTTCGCCATCTGCAATTCGCTGCAGGTGTCCCTCTGCCAGTTCACTTTTCAAAGCGCAAATGGAGCTATCTCTATCTAGTCTGTCCCAATCTCGTATTCCAACACGTTTTGATCTCTGAGTGTCTGCAATCTGCTCCATAAGCCGATCTCTGTCTGTGTCTAACTGGGAAAGGCGCTTTTCCATGGGGCCATCTAAGTCGGATGGGATGCATCTTCCCCCCGATATAATCGAAGAAAGGCCGGTAAGATGATTCATGTACCTCGAGGCGCGAGGATAAGGGACTCCCGTAACACCCCCTTGCCGGTAAATAGAATGACGATGGGTATCCACACCCGTTCCTGACATCGGGGTATGGCCACTGCGCGGACCAGTCGGGGGCCCATAGGACCCAGCTGACATGGGCCCACGGCGGGCGGGAGCACCGGTCCAAATGTTTTCCTTGAAGCTCGGCCCTCCACGAGGACGAGTGGGGGCCGATAATAGCGAAATATTTGAGCTGCGAGTTTGCGAGGGCAAAGACTTGGGCCCATGGGAGGGACCAGATGGCGGTAAATGGTCCTGTGCTGTGCTATATGCCCTTGGGTGGCTTGGAACGCTGCCAGAGTGTGCTTGATTCAATTCACCAGAGTCTTTTCCCCGCTTTTCCAGGGAAGGAGCCCGACCAGAGATATCCAATTCCGGTCCTTTCTCTAAAGAGTAACCTGCTCCATCCACGAGCGGAGAGTCACGTCCTGTGTCGTCTTTGTTCGGCTTGGTTTTGCTCAATGTTGGATGCTCGTGACGGGACGGTGAATGCTCTGAATTCTTCGATAAGCGGCGACAGGGAATTGGCTGAGATGCCGGTGACCGAACCCTGTTGTCGTATTGGAAAGCACTGGCCCTGTCTAGAAATGGCGATGACCGTCTCGAATTGGAAACAGATCCAGGGGCAGAGGTATATGCAGAAGGAACTCCTCGGGGTGATGGTGATCGTCGTCTTTGGGCTATATAATTCTCTGCATGGCGGTCCCTGCGACCCTCTTGAATTGGACTTCGAGAACGAGCGACCATCGGTCCACGAGCGAAATTATCTCGCAACAAGCTACGCCTGGAAGGTGAAGTTGGTCTCGTGTACTGGTCAGACGCAGTCAGCGCAGGGCGCTCTCTTCTGGCTGGTCTAAAGTCTAGGTTAGGTGATGGGTCTCGAAGCCGCTTTGACATGTTCCGATTCCGGGAGAAGTCCCGAGGTCGATTATCAGCGTACGGTGACCTTAAACGCCACGAAGTAGGAGCAGGAGACCTGGGTCGTCCTTCTCGTCTGGGTGAGAACCTTCTTGGAGGGGAGCATGTCTTTAAGTATGAGCTAGGACCGCTGTCTCTATTGTAGAAAGATGGGCTCCGGGATGAGCGACCCCTAAAAGCGGGTGGTGAACGACTGCGTCCGCGACCATATGACCGACTTGAAGATGGTACCCATGTGTCAGCCACTAGACGAGGGGAACGATTCCGTGGCGATCTACTGCGTCTAATATAACCACGAGGACCTGCCGGGCGATAACTCTCTCCGCCACGGTGGTCATCAAATCTATGAGTAAGTCATTAGCCCCGGCTTCAAGACATGATATGATGGACGAGAGAGGTGTAAGAAGAATATATATGGTAAAAAGGGGATGTGGCGTAAACATGTTCATATGCCAGACCTTCTGTTGCGATCCCTGTCCATTCCGAGACAAACAAAGAATTTTCATAAAGGTCACCGGAATCCGTATAGACAGTATCACCATGAATAGGCAGCTATTAAAGGAAGTTTATAGAAACTGCGCCTGAAAGCAGGTAATGAGTATGGACCGGGAGCCTTGTCTTGGAATCTGGCCGGGCATCACATGACTGAACCACCTTGGGGACATTGTCCCGAGCATACAACACTGCTTTCTCTCTCCAACCCAACATACTCGTACTTCACGCACTACACTTTTTATCAAGGATTATGGGAGACAAGCCAGTCTGATATGACTTAAGAGAGGTAGGTTAGTAAAGGAGGGAATCAATTACAATATCAGTACTTGTGCGGTATGCCCTTTGTTAGATAGCTACTACGCTTTCGGCCTTACTTTCAGAAAAGTCAGTCAAGAAGCGCATGAAAGATTGTGGACATCTTTCCATTCTTCAGTAAGGATGATAGAAGATTGTAACCCAGGACAGAGAGCCGCGAACAAAGACTTGATTGGTACAGGTGCTGTAAAGCGTACATGGTAAACCTAGTAGATTGACAGCGATCTCAGTGCCGGTTCCGTTTTTCTTCTTCCTTTCTGAGCCTTTTCCGACTTTCCTGGGCGATCATGTCGCTTAGATCCTCCTGAAATCCCCAATTAGGATTGTTTTCCTGCTGCCTTTGGGATTCGTAAAGCTTTCGAATATTTTCTTTGCTAAATCCCTCACTTATCTGTAGAGAATCTGGGTCCACAGAAACATCAATGTCGCCGGGCTTCTTGCGCTTCCGATTTTGTTCATCAGCACCAAGTACCGCCAAGTTTTCTGGAGGCGCAGTAAGATCATATAACCTGTCGCCACCGAAGAAGCCCCGCACATTGGCCTGTCGCTCTGGGATAACTTGGAAAGCGCTCTTATGACTTACAGACTCTTCAGTCTGTGTGCCTCGATAGTGCTTGCGCACGTCAAATTCCCCCGAAACATTCTCTTCACCAGCTAACTCAGAGGGAACAGCTGACGCTAACCCACTTGGCGTCTCAAGTCCGCTAGGAGTCTGGACGCCCGCTTCCATATCCTCTTCATCTTCCTCATCATCTTCATCTTCACTCTCCTCGTCAGAAAGGTCGGGTTCTTGTAGCTCACCCCAGAGATCCTTCTCGACAGGCTCGCCTTGCTGCATTGTCTGTTGCGGTTGCAATACACCGAAGATATCACCACCGTAGAGAGGACGGTTGTGCTCATCTACTGGTGGCTTCCCGTAGCCACCAGGATGGTATCCCCACATGGCACCAGGAGGGGGGGGCGCGTTGAGACCTGGAATCTTCAAAGCTGGGTATGATGGGGGTGGGCCATACCTCTGTTGGTTGATTAACCAAGGAGGGGGCGCACCGGGTGGCATATTGAGGGCTTCCTTGAGCTCAGTGCTAAGCTCACCCGGCCGTAAATGTCTAAGGTTGGTTTCATATTCCTTGCCCTCATAGTAAACCTCGCCATAGCGGGTAAGTTCCGGCTTAGTTTGGAATCGGAAAAATGCTTCATATAGCTTCTGATAATCGATATCCAATCTTCCCATCTTTGGCTGGACCCTCTCTCTTTGCTTCTGTTTGAGTGTCGCTTGTTCTTGCTTCTCCAAGGCAGCATCGCGCATTTCCGAAATCCCGGTCTCCTGAATGAATTTTGGTAACGCGAAAGGCGGCTTCTCGATTCCTCTCTTAGAAGAGAGGTACTCTCGTTTTAAAGACCAATGTGAAGGGACCGGGACAACGTTGCGATGGGATTTTATATGTACAAGAAGCCGAGGATCGGGGGCCGAAGTGTCCGTCCACTCGACAATTTCTGGTCTCCGAACCATTGCCTTTAGTTCAGCGACAGAAAGCTTATTCAATTCCTTGCGCTTTCGTTTTGAGAGCTTGGGCTCCTTTTCTTCTTCGTCCGGGATATCATTGTCATTATCAAAATAGATTTCGGGCTTTTCGGGCTCTTTCGTCGGTGTTGAGTTGTCACCGACCTCATCGAATTTGTTAACAATGTGCTTATATACTTGCCATAACGGATCCTCTAGATCTGGAGATGCAGCATTTTGACCTTGCTCGCCACTACCTTGTGAGACATCTGCCGATAGAGTCACCTGTGTCTGAAATTTCGTATCTGTTTCATCATCGAGTGTCGCTTCGGTAGCCTAGAAAAAGTCAGTCTACTCTTGATGATTACGCTAGGATAAACGGACCTGCGATTTCAAGGCCTTTTTCCTTGCCCTTCTCAATTGGTTTTTGCTTGGCCGCATTATGAAAGCTCGTTGAAGAAATATGTACGAGCGGCAACCTAGTAGGCTTCACTTATCTCGTACTATGGAACTTAAAACGCCTAGACAATTGGTGCGTGAAAATTAAAGTCAATATATTGTGATTCTTTTGGTGGTAGTATAAAGCAATTTTTGGGTTCAAGGGTAAAATGAGTCGTGGTTTGATCGTGTATGTACTCCGCACCTTCTGAGACACCCGCAGGTATATCACGTGCCAATACAGAAGCTTTGCCTGGGGTTACCAAAATGTTAACAGTGAAGAAGAACATTGAAATGTCGAAAATTGCTGCGTATAAGCTACAAACTTTTTAGTTAGCTTATTGCAGGGCGACAGGGCTTGTTACATATAACCAGTAAGGCGAAGAACGCTCATTATTTAATATTAATCAGATGAACGAGTGATCCACTATACCATCCCTGATTTCCAAAATCAAGTCCACGTAGCCTTTGTGTTCTTCTGATCCGGTAAGAAACCCATGGGAGTGTAGAGTGTACACTGGGAAAACATCCTGGAGATTAAGGAAAATTACGTTGCATGGCACACCCAAGTCTACAGAGGCCATCTTTTTGGAGTTCAACCCCCATTGAGCCATGTATATTTCCAAATATTTCAGATCGGACCGAGCGAAGACTTCGCAAACATAAAGGGCGAGCAACGAGCATCTGTAAACATCCCAGCATAAATCTGATGAAGAACGAAATTACGCCCATGTGGGCTCCAACGTGAGATATGATACAGGAAGATTTCAGGATTATTATTTCTGACATGAGAACATAGGAGGTACTGTCTGTCCTTTCCTCTCTATTTCTTTTTCTTTGCGGATCTCGATTCTAGCAATGGGTCAGCGACCGCGGCATGATGACGGTATTCCCTTTGAGTGGCTTACCAGCGGCTGTTCTCTTTTTCTTTGGCCGGCCCTTTCCTCGAAGCTTCGCACTAGTTCGTAATTATGAGCACATCCGTAATAGAGGAGCAAGTATCACATACATTTGGATCGCTTCCTCTCTGTCATCCTCTGCTTCATCGAACGTGGTTAAGCCGAGAGGCTTGTAACTGTCTTGTAAATCACGGAAAGAAACAGCCTTTTTCGGATACCATTCTGCTAGTGTTGGGCCGCGGAGTCGCTGTCGAAGAATCTTGTTTCCCAGTCGTAACCTTTGAGGATTAAAGTTAAGTGAAAAGATACGACATTGGACCTGGGACCAGCATTAACATCAGTTCAAACTCGGTTGCACAGAAAGACACAGCCTGTGCCAGAGGTAATACCTTGGCAAGGTCCAGAATACGACTGTAAGGCGCTGCCATATTTGAGCATATGAGTGAAAGGGGATAAGAACACCAGCCCGATATGGAAACATGATGGCCTATCGCCTATCATGATCACGTGATATTGTGAGTGTTTTTTACTCTTTTTTTTAAAAAAAAAAAATCCAAAGCATGCGGCATTCAAATACTAATTCTTGTATTACAATTAGTGCACCATGATAATGGAACGTAAAAGGAAATCCGTTTTTTCAACCTCCGCTAAGACTTATACCAAGGAAGCTAGGGTAAAGGTACGTACTTTCCAGGAGAAGGTTCCATCTGGTACTGACGTCTCAAGGTTGATAACCCGGTCTTGGATAACAGTGTTCTGGACAGGGACAAGATTAGATCCCGTTTTACTGTGGTATCAGATCTTTTGAGTGATACTCTTGGAACTTACCGTCACCTACAAGCTCGTGATGTCGAAGCTAGCCCTGATACCCTCAAAGCAACATTTGAGCTAGAGGAGGCCCTACGTCGCGCAAAGAACCATTTATCCACTGCAAGTGCTCGCAATGGCCATATTTCGACTGACTCCTCAGCCGAAGCAGTAAGCGCGCAAGGAATTTTGCCCGTATTACCTCCTATTGTGGATAAAGTCCTGAAGAGAGCTGTTTTCACGCATCCGGGTGTGAGCAACGACACCGAGAAAACCTACGATCGACTTGAAATCCTCGGAGATGCCTATATAGAACTGATTGCTACGAAGCTCATATGGAAAAGGTTTCAAGAAATTCCTTCAGGGCGAATCTCACAGATCCGAGAACTCTTGGTAAAAAATGAAACTCTAGCCGAGTATGCGACGGGATATGGTCTTGACATCAAGGCTGCAGTACCACAGGACTACTTGAAGCAACCAAAACGGTGGACGAAGACCAGGGCAGACATTTTCGAGGCCTATGTAGCCGCAGCTATCATATCTGATCCAATTGATGGCTACAGGGTGGTTGAAAATTGGCTTACGCAGCTATGGCTTCCGAAGCTCTCGGAACTTGGTAATCAGAAGCCCATTTTGAATGCAAAGGAAACACTTGCTAGAAGGATCATGGGTAAGGGAATCAAATTGCGGTATATTGATGAACGTCCTCCAGCCCAGCAAAGTCCGGGGGTGCAGACTTTTTTCGTTGGGGTATATCTTACTGGATGGGGCTGGGACAATAAACATCTTGGGTCTGGTCAGGGTCCTAACAAGACGATCGCAGGGAACGAAGCAGCACATCAAGCTCTATCAAATGAGCGAATAGTAGAGGAAATTACTTGTGCTAAAAGAGCTCATGAGGCAAAAATATACAAATAAATGACTAATTAATAATAATAATAATGATAAATAATATTAAGTTTAATATATAACTAAGACAATTGATACTCCGTATAACGTATTTTTAAGTTAGTAGTACTAACTAAGAGTTTATTAAGAAAATATTATAATTTATATTATTTACTGTATTAACTATATTCTATAGTTATTATAAAAATAGTTAAATAACTATCTATCAGTATTTAAATTATACTCTATATAGTAAGAGAAATGTTTTATATGAATTAATTAATTTTTTAAATTCTAATTATAGAGTAGTCTATGGAGATAGTATGATAGTATCTATAATAATCTTTTAATATAACTATTAAATATAAAAATAACAAAAATATTTAATAATAATATTATATACATAATAATAATTATATAATTAATAAATTAATTATATGTCATGTGGAAGTAAGGTGTTCCTTTCATTAAGTGTACCGCAAGGGCACAGATATACCGCAGTAGGCGGTCAGCTATAGTAGAATAGAAGTATATAATATTAGTCTATCTTTACTCAAAATCAGTATCCTTATAGTCAATTATAAAGTATAAAAAATCTCAGTATGTGGAAAGGAGAGCTTTTCTTATCTACTTGATTTATTCTTGGCTATCTTAGCTAGTTACTACTAATTCCTCAGTATTATAGGTTTGTCATGTGGAGGTAAGTTGTCCCTTTCATTAGATACCGTATGGGTGTAAATATACCGCGGAAGACAGTCAGCTAGAGTAGAAAGAGATATATAATATTAGTCTATCTCCGGTAAGACCAGTACTCTTACAGTTAATAAAAAATAGATAATTTATAAAAATATAAAAAATATAGAATTATTAATACTAAAATTATTAATATTGTCACATATCCATATTCTGCCATAGCTGACTGACCGCCCTCCGCGGTATATCCACACCTATATAGCGAATCTAATAAAAGACAGCTTACTTCTATATAACAATTTGGTAGTATATCTCTGGTGACAATACTCTGAGAGATTCTCAGGGGATATATCTTTTATCTACTATTCTATTTATTAGAATTCTACAATTAATATAGCTCTGTTATAGTTTAACCGGGGACCCTGATAGCTGTAATAATATTGAGATTGTGTCATGTGGAAGTTGTCCTTCATTAGGTGCGCTGTATGGGCGCGGATGTATCGCAGAAGGCAGTCAGCTATAGTAGAAGACAGTCAGCTATAGCAGAATTGGAGTATATGATATTAACCTATCTTCTAATAAGATCAGTATTTTTATAGTTATTAAAGAATAAGTATTATAAAATTAAATAAATCAAAAAATATAGAATTATTAAAATATTATAAAGTTATAAAAATAATATAAAATTATTAAACTATTATAAAGTTATTGTCATGTGGAAGTAAGTTGCCTTTCATTAGGTTCGCCGTATGGGCGAGGATATACCGCGGAGGGCGGTCAGTCAGCTATGGCAGAATAGATATGACATTATAGATATGTGACAGTTATAAAAATAATATAAAATTATTAAAGTATTATAAAAATTATAAAAATATTTAATATTTAATAATTTTATTATTAATAATAGTATTTAAATTATCTATACTATTATTAGAAATAGTATTATTAGAAATAATAATATTATTATAATTATTAGTCTAGCTTTTACTATAAGTAGTATCTAAGCTGTTATTATTATTATTCTTAGAAAATATAATAAATATATTAATATAATTAGATATTGTTGTACCTAAATATACCGAGAGTAGTTAATAATAAAGTTATTCTCTTATTATTAGTCTACTACTAGCTAATAAACAGTTTATTTATTATCTT